TGAGAAAGGAATACATTAAAAGACAAAAGAAAAAGTTCAGCTTCAGTGATCTTCTTTTGTTTTTTAATCTTATTCCTATCCTACTAAATCAGTTCTATTTTCGTATGACAACGTTCTTGCAAGTAGGTGTAACTATACGAATGGTTTGGCTTAAGCCATTGATGCAAGTATTCTGAGCCTTGTATAAAACAGCAACTCGACTTAGTAGCTCAAGTACTAGTCGAAGATAAAATCAATGGGTACTTTCAGAGGCCACGTCTTGCCAGGATCCTTTTTCACGGTTTTTGGAGTCTGGGGACTCTACAATGTCTTGAAGATTTTCATCCAATGCAGGTTTGGCAAGAAGGAGGCGAACAAGGATTATGTCCATTTCAGATCGACGACATGGTTCCCGATGACATTCTGCAAGTTTGTCCAAAAACTACCTGTTGAACCTCTTATTAAAATCATTGCAACTATCATTGGCATCCTTGGAGAACTGAATTCAGGAAATTGGTCTCTCTTCGACAAAAATGGCGTTTTTCACAACCTAGGAAACTTTGCCCATGTCACGATGTTTGCACTTTTTACACTCGGTGCTTTATTCGAAGTTTTTCAGTTCTTTGAAATTACTACGCTATCATTAGGTGCCGAGCACTTAAGCATGTCTCTTGCCTTTTTCATTGAGGGGTTGTTGTTTTACTTTCATTTGCATGGACGACCAGTGTTGGATGTACGTCTCCACACTCTACTATACGTTGTTGTTTTCGCAACGTCTTTTGTCTTGGTACTTGAGGCTTGGATGAAAGACAGTTTCTTGCTGCTGGTGGTGAGAGTGTATCTTGTGATGTTGCAAGGAACGTGGTTCTTTCAAATAGCTCATTCCCTGTATGGTGTAAATCCATGGAAAGACACACCACCAAACAGAGAAATAATCCCTGTCGTCTTTGCTTGTCACGTAGCAGTCTGGTTCGCGTTGTTCGTTGTGAGCTTCATGATTGTTTCATTGAAGAGTCAGAGAAAGTGTTGTGGAAGCTATTCCCGTGCCTCTCAGCACACCGAAAACCTGAACATGCAAAAGCTGGAAGATTCCGAGCGAGAAAATCTTATTATAGAATATCAGGATTAACTGTTGTTAGTTAAGATAATATATGTAATGAGATAACACTCTGGCGTCAGAAATAATCCTCAGAGCAGATCAGTTTTAATGATAGAGGTAATAATGACTTTATTCAATGAGGATATACACTTAATAAAAAAAAAAAAGGTAAAGCACCTACAGTATATTTAACGTCGGTAGTTCCTTCAGTTGAAATTCAACTGCTATCAATGGAAGCCGACGGTGCGCACTTTACCCCCTCTCGCCATCAGTGCTCTGTTTTAAGAGTATTTAAAGCTAGCTGAAGCTACACAGATTGGAGAGAAGTTGAAACAGCCGTGGAGATCCTAAGGATCGAACCGTGGACCTCGAGCTCTGAAGGTCGCGCACTAACCAACTGAGCTACGCCTGCTCCTATAAAATAGTGTAAAGTACACTAACAAACTTGTGGTCCTCTAATTAAGTTATAATAGGTTGCTATCAATAGACGTCACTTCCGGTAATAGTTCTTTTTTGATGGCTTGTAGAATCCTGGAGGTTGTTTTGATCTCTTGTTTTCTGGTTTGATGTCGTGAAAATAGTCAAATACAATAGTTTTAGGACTTATTTTGATATGTTTTGACTTAGCATCCGCTAGTTGCCCCCCAGTCAACCGCTTATTTGCCCCCCAGTCAACTCCAAAAAGTCAAGTGATTGATAGTAAGCAATAGGAATAGATACTTTAAAAATGTATAAATATAGACGCTAGAACTAATGGATATATAAAATAAAAACCTAAAAAATATATACACAAAAACACTTATAATAAATTAGAATAAACAAAAAACAATGGATCAACTATGGATTAAAATGTGATAATAATGATTGCTCATCATAAAATTTCTTAAATACATTATTCTTAAAACTCTTCATTGTAGCCTTCTCTTTTAAATCTGGTGCCAATTCATTCCACAATTTAATTGCGGAGACTAAAAACGTTTTCCCACCCTCGTAAATTCTTTTAAACTTAGGTAAACGCGCGCAGGCCAAAATGTTAACATTTTAACATACTGACGAGGCTTTGACATAATAAAATAACTAAAATGACAACKCCATCCATGCAGTCGGTTTAGAATGCCAAACGCGTATTAATAACAGTGGATGATGTCACGGGTCACCAGTCACAGCATGCATCTAATTAACGTACTTCCCATGTGCCATTTCGGTCTCAGCTTCTATGTTCTATGTTTCTGAACCCGACAACGATTCTTCAGTTGAGTGTATATAAGGTTTAAGAACGAAGTACTTGAATGTCTTTGACTGGTGTAAACATATAAAAGGAATACAAAATAGGAAAACTGGTTTTTACATTTCCGTTCGATCAGTGACCACGAACAATAGTTCCAAGTCGAGGCCAGAGTTAACACGCATAGCAAAATTATACTTTTTATATTGCGCGGCAATACCAGCCTCGACTTGGAACTCTTATTCGTGGTCACTGAACAATGGAGTATTAAATGATGCTCTTGTCAGTGTAGTATTGAAAATATTATCAATAATTTCAATTTCACTACAGTAGTTTAATCAGCATTAGTCTAATAACTAGTTTGTTATGGTTGATGGTTAGCATCGCGTGACTGCCCCTTAGTTTCCTCGCGTGACCTTTTAAAAAATGCATACTTTTTGCGGGCTAGATGTATTCAGGAAGGAATAATGCTGTCAACTTGGCTCATCGGCATAATCATCGTTCCAAGTTACTCGAACGGACAGGAGCTGAAAAGAGGAAAGAGGAAAGAGGACTCGTCTACTTTCACCCAAGATCATGGGTTCTTTCAATGGACATGCTGTTCCTGGTTTTCTATTTCTACTTCTAAGTAGTTGGTGGGCCTTAAACGTTTTATTTGTTTATGCGAAAATTCTGAGAAACAGATCCGCGTCGTCTGATCTGAACCTGACAATGAGATTCAAGTCGACTACTTGGTTTCCGATCCATAGTAGACGATTTAGTAAAGTCCCCTGCGAGTCGATAGTCAAATTTTTCTTGAGCTCACTTGGAATAGCTTTAGAACTATTCACCGATAACTCTTGGATACTGATAAAGGAAAATGGCGAATTCGAGGAAACAAGTTTGAACAATTATGCACATTCTGCAATGTATGGCTTCTTCATATTTTCTGCTTTGTTAGAATGCCTTCAATTCTGGAATGCCTTAGTACTACCAAAGGCAGGAGAACACTTGGCTTTGTCATTTGCCTTTTTCGTGGAGGGACTGTTATTTTACTTTCATTTGCATGGACGACCAGTGTTGGATGTACGTCTCCACACTCTACTATACGTTGTTGTTTTCGCGACGTCTTTTGTCTTGGTACTTGAGGCTTGGATGAAAGACAGTTTCTTGCTGCTGGTGGTGAGAGTGTATCTTGTGATGTTGCAAGGAACCTGGTTCTTTCAAATAGCTCATTCCCTGTATGGTGCAAATCCATGGAAAGACACACCGCCAAACCGAGAATTTGTGGCTATCGCTTTTTCATGGCACTGTTTAGTACTCCTATTCGTATGGCTGGTTGCTTTCGTCCTGGTGTCGGTCAAAGTCCGTGGATGTCATACTACCCCGAATACTAGCACCAAGCTGGAAACCTTCGAGGTCCAAAAGATTGTTGCACATGAAGCTGGCGACTCTGAAAGAAGCAGCTTGATAGTCGATGGTGAAGATACAGAATCATAGTCAACAAACTGAACTTTATTTGACTGAAGACACACCATGGAAAATAATATAAATTTTAGTATAATTTTAGACTTGAACATAGAGTTTCTCGAGAGCTGTGATTGGTCGAGCGACCGGTGCAGTCCGAGACGATAATCACCGCTGGAGTGGCGATAATGAGGGTCTCCAAAGTTTTCCAGATCGTTTTTTTAATCCTGAACTTCGACTTTTCTCTGATATTCAAGTCTTAAGGGTACTTAAGCCGAGATCAAACTCAGTAGTGAATCAATACTAGTATCGTCCTAATAAACACACGTAATAAAATTGAATAAAATTCAATATTAACAAAATAAAATAAAATTTATCTCTGATTTTATTCGTTTCAAGGAGGTAAAAAGCATTGTTGAGCTAAATAAGATGTTTTGCAACTACTGACTAGAGTTAAAATCGACTCGCCTTAATGGTATACGATTCAATGTGGGTGTAGTAACTCTCTTGCCAGAGTAGGTATTATGCAAAACCTCTATCATTACGTCAGTTATCAGTAACCAGCGCTTTTTCAAAAGTTGGTCTTCCTGTGGTTTTGGATTTGTCGCTTCCTGTCATATCAAGAAGGAAATTATTTTTTTCTGTGAAAAAGATGTCTCCCACTTCAGGCGATAATGCTGAATATTTCTTTAAAATAATAATAGTTGGTGATTACAGGACGGGCAAGACATCATTACTCTGTAAATACACAAATCAAGAATACGAACCCTCGAGTGACTCAACCATGAATGTGGATTTTAGCGTCAAAACGCTAGAACGAAACAACAAGAAAATCAAACTCCAGATATGGGATACTGCCGGACAGGAAAGATTTCGAACAGCTACTGCAAGCTATTACCGAGGAGCTAGAGGAGTGTTATTAGTGTATGATATAACGAAAAGAGAGTCTTTTCATAACATTATATTCTGGTAAGGATGGATTGAATTGATCAACTTATCTGAACATTATTTTGTAATGATCGGGTAAGCTGTATAATTGTCTTTCGCTAATTTTATAAGTCGTGACGTAATGTAACATTGAACTTATTTGGTAGGATGCAATCGTGATTGTCGTAGGAATAACCTCAGGAATATTATGAGAATCTGGACTTTTAACATGCCTTGTTCGATAAATTCGATAGAGTGCAAAAAATTCATCCGCAAAACACTAATTATTACTAAATAGTACAAAATAGTGCTAATTAAACAATAGAAAACAAGGGAATTTGCATGAAATTGTGCTATTTAGTATTACTAAAGTTTCACGGTTATATTGTTTGCACTCTAGAATGTGAAAGTGTGACAGTAATACAATCTCACCTGATATTATAAGGATTTACTTGTTCAACATATAGATTGCCTGTATATGTTGCCATGTTGGATTTGAACAAAGATTCTGAACAGTGGAGGCTATGGTCGGATCGTATGCTCATGGTTTTAAAACTGCATTTATAGTGCAGGAAAGCCTTCTGGAATGAATGGGGGAAATAATGACTAACTGGATGTAGCTTGGGCATATATAGTAGCTATATTTAATAGAGGGATTTTAAAATGATAGTAAGCAACTTAGTGATAATGTACAGCTTTGTTTCATGGGCCAAGTAAAAATCACTCTTGAAAAAAAAACCAAGTCTAGTTACTGGGCCTATGAAACAAGTTGTACGATCTGAGACTTAAGGCGAGGACAGATGTGCAACATTGCCAGTAACAAATTTGAATCGGGGTGACAAACCTTGCAACAAAATTACGCAACATCGCTTGTGTCAGCCTGATATGCTTAGAATTTGGTCAGCGGTTATAAATTTAGTGCAAGCTGATTGGCTTGAAATGTCAAAATTTTGCACGCAGTGTTGCAGCCCTGTTCACATGATAAAATTTGTTACGCACAATGTTGCAAGAGTAGAGCACAAATCAACTTCAGATTTGTTGCATACACTAAGTTTCAGGGGTAGAAACACGCTGCAACAGTCCTGTTGCGTGCAATGTTGCACCATGTGTCTGAACCTTAACAGTCAAAATAAAACAAAGGAATATAGTCTACTACTATTAAGTATTATGCTTACTTACCATTTTAGACCTGTCTTTCTCTTGAAAATAATAAGATTAACAGCAGTTATTATGGATGCATGCAAATAAGATGCAAATAAGACAAGCGCCGTATTGGCCTGACAGCCTCACTCGTATGATTCTTAATGCAAAAGAATTTCTTATTGCAGCTCAACTGTTTGAGTCGTATCCATATTGTTTATTTTTACCTGATCTTGTATCCTAAAATGAAATGGTCTGAAATGGGGGAGGTCTATTGATAAATTTGTTGTTTTTGTTTTTCCAGGTATAGTGAAATGGTTAGACATTGTGTAACAGACTCTGTCAAAGCAATAGTTATTGGCAACAAGTGTCATCTGAACTGTGATAGAGAGGTCAGCAGTGTCGAAGGGAAGCAACTTGCTGAAAATATTGGTCTTCCATTTTATGAGACAAGTTCAGTTAAAAATATAAATGTTACGGAGTGTTTTGATGAACTGGTAGATTCTATACTTCTGGGTTTAGAAAGACAAGAGATTAACAGGAACTTAGATTCAATTACTCTTCCAGATAATAAACATTGGCAAAACAGACATGAGGTGGAAGGATGCTCTTGTTGAAGGATACTGGTAAACCATGCCTGGCATGTTCTGTAATACGAGTCATTATTGGGTGTATGTGACATCATAGAGCCCATGCAGTAAAACCATGAAATAAAAACAAAGTTGCTACTGACAAATAGTAGCTATTTAGTAACTCATAGTTGCTATCACTCAGCCAGCACATTCATCATACAAAGACAAATACACAAGAGACCATTTGTGTCTTTTGCTTAATAAATATCTGGTTGAGTGCTAACAACTATTACTAATAGTCACTAAATAGCTACTATTTGTCAGTATCAACTTTGTTTTTATTTCATTTTACTGCATGCGCTCTATATATCCATGAAAAACTTTGTAAGAAATTGCACAAATTAATAAGTTCAGTAGACCTCAGTAGGCCATAGACATACAAAACTTTGCACTAATTTGTACAATTTTGTTAGTTACATTTTCCATGAATATATTGTATGCACTCTAGCCACGCCACCACAGTGGCTAGAGTGAAGACATTAAACCTGTGAAACAAAATTTAATAGTTAAGATGTAATAGTCAAATAGACAAAAGAAAACAAATATGAATACTAACGTGTATTAGTCTAACATCCATTTCACGGGTTAAATGACTTCACTCTAACTCTAACCAGTTTGTATCTCTTGGGCCTAGAGTGAAGTCACTAATCCCGTGAAATAGATATTAGACTAAAAAAAACCTCTATTATACGTTGACTAGTATTTTTTATTTCACTGGTTAAATGCCTGCACTCTAACGGGGTTCCTATTGAGAAAAGACCTGTCATCTGACCCTGTCATCTCTTTTCAATAATGCATGATAAGAAAGATTTTAGATAAAGTTTATTTAATAATTCTGCAAAACAAACACTACCTTTCTTGTAATGCATTAGTTTTAAGTTATTAAAATTTTCTAACCTAAGGAATTTTAGAACCCACATGAAATGAAGGTAATGAATGGCCATTTATGAAACTCAGTGAATTAAACAGTCTTGCATTTTTTAATAAACTGCCTCAATAGACAGGCCTTTTAGAGTCTTAACAGACCTCTTTAACTGGGGTGAAATGTTTCCCCATTTCATGTTATTCTCTAGAGCATCAATTCTTTGTTTTCCCTGCTAGCAGAGCCTATTTTGCTTTTGTTTTGGTTGAGAGACAAAAATAGACTCTGCTGATGTAGGACATTATTTCTGTTGTGCATGTGTGACGTAACTTAGCAATGCTGGACTCATGATTTTGACAGCTGCTCTCGTCAAACAATGTTTGGCGCTACGGTGTTACATTTGCTCATGCACACTACATGTAATCGGTTRAAAACCGGTTTTAAAACTGGTTTTGTTTATCCACAATCGTGGATGGCGGTGTATCAAAGGAAACCTCTACATTGGCAGAGTCTCCTTCCTCCCCACCTGAAAGAAAGGAAAGAAAGAGAAGAGAGACTCTGCTAGCAGGGAATTCGTTGTTAAATGGCTGCACATGGAATCATACAACACAAATAATTGTGCATATTCTCGATGGAATGACATGTGGTCTGAAATGGGAAAACATTACATCCAAAGTGAAAAGATCTATTTTTTATAGCACAAAGAACATAAGAATCTCCTCGAATTAAGGTCTTGGACTTGCAATAAATATGCAAATCTACCAAAGCAAAATTAAGAGCTTTCAAGAGAGACCCCCTGCTACTAACTTTAAAATAATTATTCGCCCCCAGAACATTTTACATACATTTAATAATTCATTTGATAACAATAAAAAGTAATCTCTTCATTTATTTCCTGAAGGTTTATTTATCACTGGCTTTTGTGGATACCATGTTAGTTGAATTAAACAAAAAAATTACTTTGATTTCTTTTATCAACCAATTTGGCATTAAAGGTTAGTTTAATATTGTTCTCTTGGGRATGACAGCAAACCACCTATAAAAAGCATATTAAGACAAGGGCGTATCTAGGATTTTTCAAAAGGGGGTCCCTACACACCAAATTTTTTATCATGACGTCATAACACTATGGTATGATTTGCTCTTTTTTATCACTTTTGTGGCTTAGAAAGGGGGTTATGGGCACACTAGGAGCCCCCCTAAATACGCGCCTGTGAGAGTGATTGAAATCTACCAATGAAACATTTACTACAATGATATGATTGACTGTGAACTGTAAAAAAGAACTTATGTTTCTTTGCAACTACCATCAAGCTTTAACACCAAATCTTTTTATAAGCTAACTATGCAAAGATAATTTTCCTTTAATAAGTTTCAGCTTATGAAAAACCTAAGCATCTGAAATGGTATAGATATTGTGAAGTTAGCTCAATTCCACAAGGCTTAATTACAACCTATTTAAATTTAAATATCATTACTGATGTTATCACCTGTAAAGTTATTATAACCTTTTTCAGTTAAAAGAAGAATTGTCAGATTTAACCAAGACCTTAAATCATCATGAGAGGAACTACATATTTTGAACCAAGAAGTGTAGTTATGCCTTACAGAAAACTGGAAAAAATTGCCGATTAACATGCTTTCCAAACTATCTTCAGCTTGCAACACTAAGCTGTTACAAGAATAAAATGTAATTTTGAATAAAGCAAAGCGAATTTTATTATTGTATCTAAATTCCCAAAAAAACACTGTCAGGAGCTTTAGCAGATGAGGATGGTGGCCCCTATGATGAGGATTGAAATGAGAAAAAAATTGTAAGACTACTGTTCTTGGATTGGATCATTGCCGAACTGAATTCAATCATGGGACAATAATAGTGGTTATTAATATTGATTCTGTAGACTGATTTTCTTGCAAAATTCAGTATATATCTGGAGAACAAGAAAAATCCTCTTTTTCTTTGGCCTCCCAGTAACCCCCCTTGTATACATGCATAGGAGTTTCGGTTAGTTCATCAACAATTTGTTCAAACCAGACAGGCTTGTAGCTTTCTAAAACAATGCCTTCATTCAGAGCATCAGCAGATTCTTGTTCTCTGCGACGTCTCCATGCTCTTTGCTTGTCTTCTATTCTAAGTTTCTCCTGGTTGGCCTCTTCCCACTTGCCGTTCTCCATCAGACGTTGATCAGGTCTGTTACGAGAATCTGTAGGGGCAACTCCATCTTCCTCCTCATTTAAAGTAATGGCAAACTCTGTCATAAAGTACATTTGGTCATGCTCTGGGCTGTAATGAAAAAGGTCAAATGCATTGGTAACGGTAGCGGTATAGATGTATGACCTGGTAAAGCTAATCACAGGGTTTTTCTTAGAGGAAACCATAGCCTCCAATGGTTGTTATCCTGAAGATCATCACACTATGCTTCCCTTTTGTGACATCCTGGAATGTCTGCAGAAGAGGCTAAGGAAATGAAAGTTCTGGAACCGACCTGTCATTTTAAACATAATGCTTTATGTAATCATGACAACAAGTTTAATTTGAATACCACCAATTTTTTTCTGAATAAATTTTTAAATGTTTTTTAGAAGTTTATTTATTAGTATGTGCTGTTGCCAATATAAAACCACATGACACCATGATATGATCAAGGGATCAAGGTGCAGTTGCAGTCTTGCAACAAAATAACATAAAGATGGTTAGAGCAACATCAATATTTTTTTAAAAAAGAATCTTTCAAAACAGGAAAGGTTGATGGCTACATCGGCATCTTCAAATTTGCCCTGATGTTTACATTCATTTTGATGAACTAAATGACATTTTGAGTGACCACAATGTTGTACTTACGGGGGTAAGACTCTTGTCCATATTGTGGAAGGTGGAAGGGTCTGGGGTTGTCCCTTCTGAGAGGATGGAGGCACTGCTCCTTTACCACCTGATGGCTTATGATAAACTACTTTGGCACAGTCAATTTTGTGGTCCCATGTTCCTGATATAACATATCGTACCACCTTGGAAGCATCAGTAACCACACCAGTAACCTAACACAAGTACAAAATGTGGGGTATGTCAGATAGTAACATGTGCAACCATGTGAACAAATATTATTTTCAGGCTCCATATCATCAACATAAAAATGATGGAAAATAGCATATAAGTTAACAACCTTATTCATGTAAGTAATAAATGGATTTTCAACAAAAATTAGGTTACAGTAGATAATCATAATAAATAAGTAACTGTTGCATTTTCAAGGAGTATTCCAGGAGTATCCAGCAACATTGTTATTTTCAAGGGCCTTTTCAAGGATTTCAAGGAGTAGCACGAACCCTGAATCCAGGCACATGTTCCTTTTGTAGTGATCAAGAACAACAAAAACACAAGCCAGTTAAGCAAAAAAGCTGGGCAAGAATATAAAAACAAAAAAGGACTGCCAGCAGGGTACAACATATATATTACATATTACATCTTATTTGGAGTATTGACCCTTATCAAGGACTAACCTTTCTGGGAGTGTCTCTACCAAAGTAGTTATAAGCATCATATCTTAGATGGCAATTCTCATTTGTGGTGTGATTGACTATGTCCATCTCACCAGACTGACAACAAAAACAGAATAATATTCAATGGAATGAAATATTTTTGAGAGTACTAATGAGGTTTTATGTGGTTTTAGATATTTATGGTTTCCATGTTTCTTCTGTACAAACATTCTCAATTACAAAAAATGTCTATTTTATCTTCCTCCCTGTAGAAGATATTGTAAAAGCAGTGCCCTCCTAATGAAAACTCTTTAAGGAAAGGAAAGGAAAGCCTAGGTGGTGTGCACTGCTAATGGGCCACCTCTTGCTAATTTTTTCATGTTCAGACTCCACCCAACCACTATTATATAAAGGTAGAGTTGCATTCTGTTCTCCAGGTTCTCTGGTTTTCTCCTTTTGAAAAATCAACTACTAAATTCCAATGTGATCTGCCATCAAAAGCTTTAGTTGTACAGCTCTGGTTCATATATTAAGTAGAAGTGGCAAGTGGGTAAGTAAGAAACTTAAACACTATTTAAAACAGTTTGTTACTGTACTGCCATTTTGGACCTTAGTCCTTCGTTGAAATAAAAGAGAAAGAATGTTATCAAAATTGACACAGGCTATTTACCTGATCAACCCAAAGTCTTCCTACTATAATATTATGTACTGTTGTAGTAACTTTTCTCCAAGTGTAATGATTGCCTGATTTTGTAAATTTCAAATGTGCTACTCCTTGTGGGATGATCTGCAGGTATTTGCCACGGAACTTGCTTGTAGCTGTGAATTCTTGCCAGAATATCCAGTCCTTATGTTCAACATGAAGTGCTGATGCTGGTGGGTGATGGCTCACCTACAAGTAACAAGATAAAGATTACCATAATTTGGGTCAAGTGAGTCCTGATAACACAAACTTCTTGGGACCAGGTTTAAGTTTGAGATAACAGCATACCTCATTTCTTCAAGAATGAGGTAATCTGAGCCATCTCAAAATAACGTTTTTTTATGGGTATCCGAAAGTTGTCAAAAGGATAAGAAAATTTTGGTCACCAAAATTATGCCAAAATTATGTTGGATCCGTGTGTGAAAAAAGTCACTGAGGATTGGATTTTTTTCAACTTTCTCTCAGAGAAAATTATCACCCTGGGTTCCCCACAATAGACCTCTTTACCTTCATATGCAAATTACCCATTTCAGACCATGTGACATTTCCCTGAGAATAGTTCTTTTATGATGAACATCTTAAAACATTTAAATATGAAAGAATCAACTCCAAAGAGTGGCATCACATGCTCTGAGATGGGACAACAAACAACAAAGGTAGAGAGGTCTATTGGGCTAGACTCCATTGTCCAGTTGCAATTTCAGCGTATTTGGTCCTTGTAGTGTTACAGTTTACACATCCGACTGGAAAATGGAAGATATGGGTTGGAGTCTTGCCAAAAAACAAAAATGCTGAAGGGCTTATGATATTTTTCTCTCAATGTTTACTTAATATTACCATAAGACTAATAATGGTAGCACATAATATATACATATATACCTGCTCCGCAAGTGAACGCCATCCTTTTTCCAATGACCTATCACATTCGAAAGTCTCCCCCAGCAGTGGATTGAATGGTTTGCCTGTTCTATGACTAGTAGTTGAATATGAAGAAACAGTAAATGCAGCAACGTAACACATTTGTTCTAACGATGAATGACAAGCTGCTGCTCTGTCAAGTACTTCTGAATACTCCATGTCCTCTGTTAATCTTTGTAACATAGACAAAGGTTCATTAAAGTTGACCTGAAAAGCAATAAACTCTGTGTAAAGCTACTATGAGTGACTGTTCATTACCAAGGTGGGCCAAGTAGGGAGGCCAAAGTTCCCCAACCCCTCCCTCTCTGCAGTCCTTGAGAGAAAACAAATTAATATGGATGACATTCATTCAAAGCCTTGATTTTTTCTTAATCAATGTATTACATGGTCTGAAATAGAAAAACATTATGCCCAAAGGAATAAGATATAATTTACTGCAAAACAAAGAACAAAAGGTAGTAGTCTTGACTTACTGGCATAGGAATCTTTGTGAGTTCTTTTCCTATACAATTCTTTAGTATACTCCACAAGTTTATACTAATATCTGGTCTAGGTTGAATGGACGTTCTACGCTTCTTTACTGATTCCTTATCAAAAGAGGGCTGTTTTAAAAAAGAAGAAGAGCAACGATAAGTATGAAGTAAAATTATTTATGGGTAAGAGAAATGGAACTATAAATTTAGAACTTCATCAAATAATAAGCAATTATTGGTGTTGACAAAGCAACTTAACTGCACATGAGCAGACTATTATTTGCAGCAAAATAGCTTTTCACCATAATGCACATGAGCAGAATATTATTTCTAAGGTAATTATTTGCAGTTGTTTCTCTAATGAAAATGATTGGGGAAAATAATTTGAATGATAATTGCCATTATGTGAAAGACACAGTCCCAGATGTCTAGGATATTGGTTTCCACCAATTGAAAATATAGTCAGACTGTTGGAAATTTTATTGACTTAAGCCAAAAACCTAGACTTCTTGATATGGCTTAAAACAAGGACAAATTCCTTGAGTCACATGTGTACAAACAAAAGTGATTTGACACCAATAAAGTCTTTAGTTTAAGACAAAAGCTCCATTTAGCTTTCTATTTTCATTACTTTACGGAGTCAAAAGTTAAAGGTATGTTTAACTGGGCTATTTACAAGAACAATCAAGGCTAGATCTGCCAAAAAAGAGTGTTTTTAAACACTGCTTGTGTTATCATTAATGGAGGTATAATATAATATATGAGTTCTATTGGTCCAACTGAACACAGGAAAACTCTAGGATCATAATAATCTGGATGAAAAACAAATTCTAATGCATTTACCACTCCTGGGTGGATGGCTTAATGCCTAATAGGTTTTGAAAATATTCCAACATAGTCAACAAGTCTCTGTTGAATATCAATATCAGCTTACATAAGATGATATAGCAGCAAATGTACCACTCTGAGGAAATACTGTGGCCAGAGTTGTGACTGTGTTCTCTTTGAGCTTTTCATTTTTTTTCCCTTCTACTTTGTTTTCCATTTCTTTAGGCAACAGTGGTTTGGCCTCCACCTCTTTTCCATAGCTTTCTGAACTGGTTGAGCTTTGTATACTTTCTTGGCTACCCCTCACAGATAAATCACTAACTGAATGTTCTGATATTGCATCAAAGAATTCATTTTCATCTTCATCGCTGTCATTAGCTACTACTTCATCTGGTGGTTCTCCCGGAGGGCCACCACCTCGCCGTTGACATGCTCGCTCTAGAAAATTGTGCTGTCTTGCTAGGACTTCGACAGTCTCTTCTAGGTTGATACGTTGGTGTCTTTCATATTCTAAGGATTTGTGCCACTTTTTCTCTTGTGCCTGGGCCAAGTCCAGGAATTCAGCACAGGCCTGAAAAACAAATATATTCAGTAACAATGTTAACTTGATGCCAAAGAGCAGATTTCATCTGACTATGTCACAGGGACATATCGAGGTCTTGGTYGTAGGGGGGAGAGGAGCTATGTACCATTTTCCTATCAATACACAACAACCCTTTTTTAACATGGTCTGTTAATGAGGAGGTTGTAAGTAAAAATGGGTTCAGTAACTACCAATATTGAAACAGAGAAACATTTTCGTACGATCATGCATGCATTCCTGTATTTCCTCAAGAATTCAGGAGCATTTGAAAAATGAAAAGGAATTTTATTCTCCTTAACCTATTCAAACAATTTGGGTACCATACGTGGATAATAAATACATGAAATAATTAGGGTAAAGTTTCAGGGACTGCCCACAAATGTTACACGAAAAATATTCAGTTTTATACATACACTGATCATGGCATTAGAGGTGATACGGAAAAGTGTTGCCTTCTCGTTGACAGCCTTCAATTTGTTGATAAGAGTTTGATTATCTTCAATTTCTTGTAGCTCCCCTATAGAACGCTGCAATGCTGAGCCATGTTTTCCTACCAAATCATTACAAGTATGGAGGTCTTCCAGTTTTGCACTCAACGGCTTGATGTCCTCAAATGGTTCATCTTCTTCCTCATCTAAAAAACATGGTTCGTTATCATGAGATAAAGAGAATGAATAAAATGATAGGATGGGATGGTGGGGGTGTACTAGCTTTCTCCCAATGTGATGATGATGATGATTCATGCCTTTCACAGGCAGCCCATGAAAGAAAGACATTCTCTGTTTTTGTTTCAAAAACATACTGCAACTCGTATATTAGAGTATAAATACCTTAGTAATAGCATATGCATCCAAATTGTAAATAGAGAAAGATTTCAAAATAAAGGAGACAAAAATACTACTAGTAACACAAGTTTTAAATTAAGGACTCAAAAAGTATACAAATCCRCTTTTGAATAGCATAATAATCCAGGCCAGTTAATTGATAGAATTTAGAACTCAGCTACTTGGTATATCACTGGTAATGCATAGAAAATTATTAATAGATTCCACAACTAATAATTCATATATTTGACTCGTGAACATTACCCACAAAGATTAGCATTCGAGATTTTATACAAAGCTACATTGATAATAACAATCGCAGCAGTGCATTCATGAGGCAAAATGAAAGAGATAGCTGGGTGAATGGGATATTCATTCTTTGTACATTCAGTATTTTAAATAGCCAGGTCACAAATAATCTCCACAAAATGTTTGCTACATGCTTGAATATATATATATATATATATGTATATATACCAAGCTTAAACTCACTGTCTGGTTATAACCTTAACTTCGGAGTGTGCAAGAAAAGTTCTTTAATATGATTTTTCAATGGAATAATGCAGGAGGGTGAAAGAACTTGCAATGCATTTTCTTAAAGAAATCAAACTAAAGCTCTGTCAGTGTACTGCAAGCCACTTTTTTTCATTTTAGTTACCTTGGTCATTGTGTGTAAAACACCGGCCATAATRTTTTCTCCTTTTCCTTGTACTTGGAGTAAGTAAAACCTCTTTTCTATTGTCAAGATTTTCTAAATCTTTAGTGGAACAGTTCTTTATGAGTCTTATAATGAACATCACATTACAAGAATACTACCATTTTTCTCGTAATTTGATAAAATGTATTGTGCTAGTTCTTGTGTCTAAAATATGCATGTCAAGTTTAAAATATCCTTTGCCAGGAAATTTGCTCTGGTAAATGTTAATATCTAGGTGCTATGAACAGGAACAGTTGATAAATTATCTGGAAGCTCCAAATTTTGAATTAAGAATTCTGTACGACACAGATCTTAGACTCAAAAAATGGACTTGTCCGGAAGGTATGAAACTAATGAAAAACTGTTTTTCTATTGATCATGAAATTTGTACCTCATTAGCCAAAAGAGCTTCAATCAAAATACAAAACAGACCGAGACGAGAGAGCTGWAACAAAATAATTCAATATATTCACAACTGTATTTTTGTGGTTTTATTAGTCAATAACAAATAGACATTCATCAAGATACCCTTGTTGTCTCTTAGCAGGTACCTGCTTTGAAGAAATTTGAATATATATATTTTTTAAATCAGTTCAGAGAAAAAAGCTACTTATGTCCACAAAACAATGAAATAAATAGTAGATATTTTATAGAAATTTCGTACTTATATTCATAAGGAATCTTGTATGCTTTAAATATTTCACCCYGTTTCGCTTGTCATTGATACAAATGTATTTAATTCCGCAATAATTTTAAGAAATAAAATATTGTGAAATATACTTTTGGAGTCGAAAAGATGATAAAGTAGCAAGTGTGGAGTTCAGTGAACACTGTTAAAAACCAGTAGAGCATAAAATGAATCCAATAAATGCTTCCACTCAAGACCAGGCAATCTAGAATAACTGACGAGCTAAACCACGTTTTAGCGGTCAACCACTAAACCTTAAACAATATTTTACATTTTCATTTAAAGTTGCTGTTTACCTTTATGCTGGGATTCCAGGTGCAAAAACCTATGAAGCTTTTTGGTTTGGATTCAAAAAGAAAGTTTATAAAGATCACTTGAGAATTAAATATTCAAGAAAAGCCTAAAGAAATAGATGATCCAAGAAAAAAACAAAGACAATTGGAGACAGTCTTGTTGACAAACTGTCAGATTTCTCTTCTGTCATTGGTTGTAAGTGAAATGTGACATGTAATGTGTTGCTAAGTGACTGGTTCAATCTGTGACTGGCTCAAGCAGTTGGATTCCTATCATCCCAAGTAATAGATGAATGTAGCTGGTTATGGGATTATGAGAGTGTTAAACCTTTGTTTAATTACTAATGACAGAGGTCAAGAACCAAAGAAATCGAGGATTTGATTTACTCACCAAAAATCCTTAAAATAACAAATTTCCTTTTGATTTATTTTTAAGAACAATTCAGATCTTTTCTTAAAAGTTTCAATGCGATAACTGGACTAGAGATAGGAATGGAACTTACATAAAATACATTTTAAAAAGACACTCGGAATAAAAACCTTAATGGAAACAAACAGCAAGGTGCAGTCTTTATTAAGAACAAATGTAGGAAAAAATGATCTGAAATAGGAAGAAGCTTCATAGCATTTTACAAGACAAAATATCCTAGTAAAAAAACAATAGAAATGTTATTGTTTTGGAGAAAAATATACAAGTGGTACCTTGTGAAATAGACACTTTTTTAACAAAAACATGTAAATAACCAACTTAGTAATGATAGCATAACTAAACCATCTTACTAAGTAGGCAATACACCCTTGCACTGAGTCCCGAGAGGATTTGCAAAATAAAGATGGCCTATTGTTTTGTCCCCCAGTTCCTTTTTGGACTCAGTGCAACAATTATTTTCTCATGTTATTTAGAAACAAGAAAATATTTCTGATAAGAGAAGGGAGAAGAAAGAAACTGGGAATTGGAAAGTGCTGAAACAAAAAGGAATTTTATTTTAAATAAATGTGACAACAATAACAAAACAGAAACAATGATGAAATACAAATTAATATCAACCATTGAAGCTTGATATTTTTGCTTGCTAAACTTAAGATTACCCATTTTTGGCGATGAAAAGCTATAAACTTGCTGTTTTATAATTTAATGGTAACTTAAAATTAAGATTTTATGATTTACAAAGAAAGAGTTTTATTTACCGCAAAAACAAAAGAAAAATGCATAAATTTATTTTATGTTGATCATGTCTGGCCCAAGTGATTGATTATAGTATCCTAAAAAGAATTTTGCCCAATCACACATAGACTGATTAATGTTAAAACAACAGGAGATGCAGTTTTAATAGGCAATCTCCTGTGTATATAATCATAACTCCAGCTATATACAATTATTCACATAGTAATTATAGCCAATGGCCTGAAGACAGGTGTAGTAAAAGACATGGTTTGGAAAAATACATTTGGTTTTGYTGATTACACTGACCAGAAATGTTTGAATAAATAAAAAATAATGGAATAGATTTTCCCAAAAATAGCAACTGAGTATATTTTAGTACTAGTTGAGTTAGAAAAGAACTCAGGGGTATCAATAACAACTTTGCTGGTAAATCAAGGCTCACTGATGTTTACCAGGAGAAAAAAGGTCACCAAATCAAAATAGAAAAAGTGTGTGAAGTGTTCATCTTTTCCATCTCATCAAGGATTATAGTAACATGCTTTGAAACATATAATAATAGATGGTGTGAAATGGGTATGTTTGAAATGGCTGGGGATGGACTTGACGGCTGTCAAAGTTACTTAGCAAGGGTGTCATCTTTAGAAAATAGGAAGAAAATAGAGATGTCCAGAAAGAAGCAGCATTATTGATAAATACAGGACTTAAGATAATGGCCAGACATCAGTCAATGTCTGCCCAGAATTGGAACTTGTCCAGCCAATCTTTGCTTTGCCGGTCATTTAGACCAGTGATGTTGAGCTTGAAACGAGATATGGTTGACAGAATGGAGAGGTATATTTAGCAAATAACAGATATAAAGATTCCAGGTAGGATAGGTATGTTTTTTTGGGGGGGAGGGGAGGGGAGGACTTGGGCATTAGAAGGGAGGGTCCTCAGTAAAAAATTGAGCTTTTGTGGAGGATCAAACCTTTTTATTTTAACAAAAGCTGGTTTCTTGTTGACTAAATGGGAGGGTCATGAATTTCTTACTAATTGAAAGAGGAAGGGTTTACTGTATATCCCATAGCCCTCCCTCCCCAATAGAAAATCTAACTTTCTTTAGTTGAAAGAAGATTTCTAGCATATTAACACTATGTTAGGCATGACCAAACAGTGGGACCATCAATCTAAGTAGAGCTACCTCTCTTTGGACTACCTTAAATTACACTTTTATCATACATAATGAAAACAGGTGACAAATTAATCAGCAGAGGAAGTGTAATGAAATAAAAAAAATTCATTCTTGGTACTTTTGTTATTAACATCTAGGAAAAGATTTACCCTTGATTGATACTAGACTGTACAAAATTAGACTTGGATATCAAGGTTTAATTTGTGTGCGTGTGGAAACACGTCAGTATTAAATGAGTAATATATTCAATTTTTTCTGTCAACGTTAAATATATTTTTATACAAACTAAACTGATGCCGGAGGGTTAACCCAGATCGATACTAATATTACTCTTGCTTTAAATAAGCTTACCTTAATATATTTGAATAAAACTATATAACGCTATTAAATTTGTTTTCAAAACTGCGTTTAAAATACTAAAACGAGAAAACAAAAACACTCTTAACAGAGCTCTATACACCACAAACCTGATTCCAGCATTTTAATAGCTTTAGCTTTAGCCAGTTCAAGGGCTGTAACCCATCTCTGTCTCTCTACTTCGCTTGAGGCTCGAAGGTGGAAAGCTTGAGTGCCGCCATTTGAGATTACGAAACTACAAGCGTCTAACGTGTCGATAAAAGCCCCCGCTAAATTAATAGTTCCCCTGCATGTGTGAGCCATTTCTGCCTGGCTCCTACGAGATAACCAAACCGACTGTGAGCAACAACACTAAATTAAAACGTGGACACAAAAACTGAATCGTCAGCCATGTTGGATCACAACAGCAAGAGGCACTTTACCTGTAGTACGACAATAAACCATTGGACAGCACAAACCAACGTCTTTGATAACCTTTAATGTAGTTAGTCCACTTAAGCAGCCAACCCCTGAAGTGGTCAGGGCAAACACGGCCGTCTGGCATCTTTTTCTCGGGACTTTTCTTCACATTTTTACCTTTCTTTGGAAGATCGATAACTGTGAACCCGTCAACTTCGGCCATAATCACGTGATTCACCTATACCACGGAGACCTGGACTCTAATTATCGACCAGAATTCCGAATTACTGACCACAAAATATTTCTTTATTTTTGTACTCAAAATAATCTTTCACCAGCGTGCAATCGCATTACTGGAGAAAAAAAGCCTTGTAAAATATTTACAAGGTTTCATTTTCGATAGGAAACAATTGTTTTCGGCCAAGAAAAAATCGAGACCGCTGACCAACATGAGGTAATAACGAAAGAGACTTGCAGAGACAAACATAAACATAAACTTTGCATACCATATAAAATACAATCAGCTGATTTAGTCATATCCGGAGTTATGTTTAAAAGATATGAGATGTGTACACATTTTATTGAAGCTAGTTAGCTAGTTAGTATCATTATAAACCAAAAATTATATCTAATTTTATTGATCTCACAAGCAATGACGAGCATGAAATTATGCTCATTTATGATCAACAAGTGATTTACAGCACTGGTCCGAACCTCCACACGTCAAATTCCACATTACGTTGCTTAGGAGATAGCAGTATAGAAACTACGAGTCCATAGACAAACAGTTCATAAGAATAAATTCAATTTGCACGAACAAGTCAAAATAGTTCACGCGAACGAACTTGTGTACAAAGACAGAGGTTCCATCTTGAATTCGAGAAATATTGTTACAAATTAGGTACTTTTTATTAGCTCTTAGGTAAAAATCCCTTGGAAAACGTAAAGCATGGATGCTTACCTTCTTTGTATGGTTCAGTTTGAGTCTCGACATCGTGTAACCACGGGCATAAATTTTTGCATGTCTTCGCCAGCTCCTTGTCCGTCATCAAGAAATACACCATTCGAATATCTTATTTCAAGGAAAAAATATTGGTAAATCTGTTAAGACATACTCCAAATAATCTCCTTTGAGGTATCAAAAAGAAAAAGAAGTCAAAGCAAGACGTTATCTCCTAAAATTATAAAAGCCATGTTAGGTTTCCACTGATCGAGCTTAGTTATTTCCTTCGTACGTCAATCATTAACTTCGAGAGCCATTTGCGTAACTGCTTCCGGTCGAATTATTTCCGACGTACTTCCGGTATTTTTCTAGTGTTAAAATGAGGAGAAAATTATTTTTTTTGGTGACTTTACGTCTTGAAGATATGTTTGAAAATTGATAGGAATGACTCACTGGCAGATATTAGACAGATGCATTGCCAGTACTGAGGCCATTATTATAAAGATTTGAAGAATCCATTGGATGGAGGACACTGATACGGATCTGATACGAATAAACCATACTTTGCTGGGGAGAAGGGGCACTTCATAACGAGGGCAAGGTTAATTGAAGTGAAATGATATTCGAAATGGGGAAAAAATGATTGAGGGAAAGATTTTGGGTTGAAGATCCTTTTAAGTACCGCCATAAGATAGTCCATTTTTATAAATACCGGTATTCGTAGCCGATGGAAACACACCTGTTTACCTCCTTCATTCTTAAATACATTTTCTGCACATTTTCACTTCTCTAGAGGGGTTGAGAGGGGAGGGAAACGTTTGCGTTACAGACACTGAGAACGTCTGCGTAGGAAGCTAACATCTAATACGACACATTTTACTGTTTTATATTGCTGGTATCTTTCGTCTTTCCATAATAACAATGACTAGGAGATAACCTAATTCTCTTAATTCTCTAGATGAATATGGTCTAAGCTTAGTCTTTTCAAATAGCAACCTTTTCCCATTTCAGACTACGTGTCTGTCATTCCCTTGAAAATGATTTCTTTGTCAACCTACGAGGATTAAGAATGTGTACTAGAAAGCTTATGCTAATACAAAGTTTCAAGAAATTTTGAAGTGCGGAGTCATTACRCTTACTTTTAAAACACCACCTACAAGATTTATTTACAATTGCTTTATTTGTCGTTGTTTTCTCCATTCTTGTTTAGTTCACTTTCCAATTCTTCAAGCAGTGCCTTTGCATTTGGGTTCTTCTCTGCAGCCTTTTCGTACCATTCTTTGGCTTTGTGAAGGTTTTTCTCTACTCCAAGTCCGTTGTAATACATGTTTCCCAAATTTATCTAAACCAAATAACGAGAAAATGAGAATAGAATCTCGATCAAAGGGGGTGGGTGATTACAAGGAGAACGCGTTCGGGGGTGGGGGAGAGTGGGTGGGAAGCAATACACTAATGCAAAATCGAAAGCCGGTTTTGTCAATGAATTGTTTAGTCTATGCATAGAGGAGGAACTTTGCTGTGTCTTAGGATTCTTTACTAGTTATATGCACCTATACACCAATTCCTTCAAATTTTATCGAGCCCTGAAAAATACAACATCTGGTCTTATTATCTGTTTGGGYATTGCTAACTCGCAGAAATTTTGAAAAAATTCTGGATATTTTTGTTTTCGTCTATAAAATTTACGAATTTACACGTAGCAAGCTAATGTGACAATTTGGCGCAAAATAAATCTCTGCGTGGGAAAATTTATATGTTACCTGAGCAAGTTCGAACCCATTTTCAGCAGCATGTCTGAAACAGTCTGCAGCCTTGCTCATGTCCAAAGTCACGCCACGTCCAGAAAAATAATGAACCCCTAAGTTATACTGAGCAGCAGGATAACCTACAAGGCAGTAACAGATCTTATAAACAACTCATCATCATCATCACAATCATCATCATGGTCATCGTTGGCATCATCGTCTTTATGAATCGGTAATACTAATTTGATCTGGTGAGCATTCTCAAACATTGGTATCCCCTAAACCTTCTTTATATATTAAGAAAACTGAGAAATTTCAAATATCATGATAAAAAAAGAATTTTCAAACAAAAAAGCTGAACAACCTATAATAGCTGCTTTTTGGTGGTAGCTGAAAGATTTCTCATGATCCACATCAACACCTTGTCCATGACTGTAGGCATATGCAAGTGCCATCATACACAATACATCACCTACAAAAAAATTTCAATAATCTTTGTTTACTGGTTGAGCTTAAGAACATATTAATTAATTCTTGGGGTGCAAGACAAAAATCCCTTGTGATATAAATAACAATGAGACAAGTGCCRTGTTTGTTAAAAGAAGCCAATGAGTAATATGTTGTTAATATCAACTAAGATGGTGGCTATGAAGTAACATGCAGTCCAAGAACATGGAGGTAACCAAATTTTGGATGTGTGGGGATTGGGAGGGAGGGCAGGTTTGAAGCAACTTTTCCTCTCCCAACATGCAACCTCGAATTTGCTCCTACTCCCCACAAATCCAAAGGGGGGGGGGGACAACTCAACAACTCAAGTGTGCCTGGAGGGACTGTTACCTGTCTAAGAGGCCTATGCCAAATCAAGATGAAATGTTTTTTTTTTTTACCTTTACTTTCGCCTTCTTGGTAAACTTCAACAGCTTTTGACTGGTCTTCATCGACTCCTTGACCAGATTTATACATGTTACCTAAGAGAAAGTGAAAATGCTAAATACCTGGGAATTCGTATCTTTGATAAAGAAAGACAGGAATAACTAAGGTGAAAACTATAGAAAACAAGGTGCTTTTTGAAGTCAAGCTAATTATTAAACATACCAAGAAACATGTATGCAGGAAGGATGCCATTTTTTGCACTCACCTGAATAAGAGAAAGAAATTGTAAATCATGCAATCAATAACTGCAAATCTAATATTATCATAGACAAGAACACAAAATATTAGCAAATCCCATCTTAGCTGTCTTATGTGCATTGTCTCACCTCAAATAAACTTAATGCAAGTTTGAAATCTTGTTCCAGTMCAGCACCACTGTAGTACATTTGTGCAAGGCTAAACTAATATAATATCAGAAATAAGGTCTTTTGTGAACTTTGATAGCTTTCTTAACAGGAAAATGGGCCAGGAAGTACAACCTTCCCAGGGAAGTAGCAAGGGAAGCAAAACGTTTGCCTAAAAATCATAAATTTTCTTTTTTTCCTATTTTGTTGGGCTACCTATGGATTTGGCAAGAATTTCTGTGGCGAAACGCAAGTTCTCATCCTTCCAACTTTGGTACTACAGCTTCCACTGCCCCTTCCAGAATGTAAACTCCCATCTTCTTCCCATTCTATTTTTTGTTCAGTCGTTTCTTCTTACTTGTGCATATGGGTGGCCCATCTCACTTAGTTCTTTGAACATCTTCCCTGCCTCAATAGGATCTGCATCAATTCCTTGACCTTTCAAAATATTTTCACTCACATGTAAATTCATTCACACTAAATAAGCTATCTATTCAATTTCTAACATTTTTACACTATTGCCATGTCAAGGATTTACACTAAAGCAGGTTTTGGATAGTCAATGGGTGTTACAAGGGGTGTTACAAGGTTGTGTAAATTGTTGGTTGGTTGTGAGAAGGGTGTGAGCAGGTTGTAAAGGATGGGCAGTAGGGTGTGGATAGGTTGTTGGTAGGGTGTCAATATAAGGTTTTATTACAAAAACAAGGTTTCAGACATATAATTATAAAATATTGTTTTAGTGTTTAAAAGTTTTAACATGGTGTATGTAAAGTTGTTGGGGAGGTGCACGCTAATGCCTGATAACCTACTAACATCCTAACCTGGTCTTATTATCATTTACAACTTACCAATCTGTAATAGTTTGGCATAAGAGTATTTAGCATCTGTGCTGCCAGCTAATGTACCCAACCAAAACAAAGGAACAGCCATTTCCAAAGCAGCCTCTCCTACTGCAATGAAACACATTGGAACTAAATAATGGAAATTTCTTTTTATAAGCTTGTTATAAATTATTAACTCAGGTACTTACCTGTATCAGTAAGACTAAAAACAGTGGCAGCTAACTCATAAACTTGTTGATGTGATACTATAAAAAACAGTATGTGAACCAAATATTAGTCAAGAAGTTCCTCTTCATCATATTCAATAATAAACTAGATACATGACTATCTTCACTTGGACTCCGATCCTGTGGTTAAATTTGAGACCAACACTTTGGAATGCATAGATTTCCCCTGCGATGACACTCTTGAGGAAAGACATTGCAAGACAATACAATGTCTCACAATGTCTCACAATCTTCTCACAATAATTATCCTTGGTTGCTAGGCAGTCTGCAGTGTTGCAAACAGGTGGGGATATAGGAAAGAAAAGGGAAAAGAACTGCGTTGCTCAGAACACTGAAGACCGCTGAGCAATGCAAGCTACTTAACAATAAATTAGACCTGAAGCCTGAATGGTCTATGAGYCAATAGCCTGTGAGGATAAGGCTGAAYGGGCTATTGMCTTTGTAGACCATGAGGGTGAGATTTCTAATATTGTTTTAGCATAAACCTACTAATTGGTCAAATATTTAACATTTGGAGGTTGAAACCTTCGTCTTTAGCCCAGCATCACATTATACAAATGCGTATATGTGTATATGAGTATACACAAAGGAATGATTCATGACAGAACCACACAAAAAATTTTTTTTTTACCTACGGCCCAAACAGGGCACCCAAGTAATTTATTAGGATGCTTACAATTTGCAACAGGATGTCTGACAGCATCTATGCTTGCGTCACCAAATTTGTACTGAACTAACTTGTCTAAAACATCCATTTGAGTTTCAAACACTCCTTCCGCATGGCCTTTACCCTGTAACCTATCTTTAACAAGGTTGGATATACTTTTATAATCTGAAAAATTAAAAATACAACAATTTATTATAAATGATAATAATAATACAAAACCTATAAGTTGATATAGAAAATGTTAATCAAACAACCAATATATGTAAGAGGTGCTTACCACTGTTTTCATTGCTATGCATTGATCGAGATAACAATTGCTACATGCTACAGCCAATCAGAACATGTAGAGGTACCGAAAACTTTCTTTTGATTGACGGCAGTGCATTGCCAGTATTTCCTGTTGCGACTGTTGTCTTGATCAGCATGTATCAATGAAAACAGTGGTAAGACATTGTGCCATGGACACTAATAATAGTGGCATAGCCTTATTGGAATGCATGATTTATAATAGTCATACAACAAAATGTAGATGTTAAAGCACAGGGAGCCCAGTTTAATTTTTTATATTYGAGATCAAGATAATGTCCTCCGTAGTTTACTGCTTATTTTACTGTAATTTCCTCCCTTGTCAGAATATACATACATAAGATCGACATCAGATACCATAGAAACATAGTCAAGTTTCGAGTTCCAAATTACTGCTGTGTTTCTTGATTACAGACTCATTTACTCTGGAACACGTGAATATTCTTCACAAAATCAAGGCTAAGCCTGAGTAAATATGTCTGTAATCAAGAAACACAGTGGTAATTTGGAACTCGAAAAGGGTCTATCATATAGGAAAACAAAGGCGTGCGCGAAAAAAAATGTTCTAGCACATTTTTTATTGGTTTTTTTTTTTTACTCTTTCACATTACGTAGGACATTATCTTGATCTCGAATTTAAATAATCATTAATTATTTAATTTTTCCGATTTCACTTTAATCTAAATTGGGCTCGCTGTGGTTAAAGTAGAAAGTTCTAAATCTTCTAGAAAATTCTAGAAGCATCTACAATCTAGAAAATCTTTCAAAAGTTAATTGGGGATGACGTTATCAACCAAAAATAGAAAGAACTTTCTAGAAGACTATTTAGATATTTAAACAGATCCTCTCACGTATGCACCAGTCGTTCATGGGCTTTAGAGCCTATAAAATTTATATCTAGTACGAAGTTGAATTTCTTGGGGGGTGTCTCGATTTATGCAGGTTGACAGTTTTGAGTCCCATAGCGGATAAGCGCTAATAATTAAAACATAAGGATGCCTAATTTTACGAGAGGTAAGGGCTTGATAAACTTAATATACRAATAAATACCAATGGGTTTATCTGTTCCAGAATTAGTTGACCCGGTAGTTGAATATCTCTGTATGGCAGCAGTAGTAGCGCATCTTTGGTGTCCAATGAATACTCTTGTACAATATCTATAACTCGCATTCAAACTCAAAGCTGAATAAAATCGCTCTTGAGAGTATAAAGGCACTGAGCGGGTAGGTCTAAGGGTATTAAGAAGTGCTCTAGGAGTTTTGAAAAATAAGCGATTATTTCCAAACCGAGTCGCCATCTTGGATGAATATTATGGAAAGTGTTGACTGGGATTCCTATGTTAARAGGAAGCCCAAAACACATATTAAGACGGCCTTTTACAAATAAATAATGTAATAAAGGGTATTTCTGAGGAATTCTAATTTCCTGATGCCGCGTTTTCTTTTTGAAAATATCTTTAAAAATCTGAAAATTACGGAAGCCCTGGAGGGACATTTCAGACTTCAGACTTAGGATATTTCAGACCTAGGACTTCGGATATTTCAGACTTCGGACTAAGGATATTTCAGACTTGTTCGGACTTCGGGTGGACTTCGCAATAGTAGAAATTCATTGACAAAATGGAGGAAGTAATAGTTTCTTTCTAGACTCAGCTTTTTTGCTAAGTAAAAAAATCTATTACTAGTAATTGGCTGCTACATCACAGCGTGGGACAATAACAACAACCGGTGAACGCGGGGAAAAACCCTCGAAGCACAGGAGAGAACCAACAAACAACTCTACTCACATGCGATACCGTAGCCTGCGTAACTCGGCTCTTGGGGGAGGGGGGGGGAAGAGGAGAAGGAAGAGCCCTCCCTTCTTTACCCTCTCCCCTCCTCCCATTTCCCCTCCTCCCTCCCCTAGGGCCGAGCTACGCAGGCTAGCGATACCGAATCTGGGTCGCCTTGGTGAGAGGCGAGCGCTCTCGCCGCTACGTTACCCGTGCTTCCTTGAGTGTTTAATAAAATTTGTATCCTAATTTATTGATAGCAATTTGAACTGGTACAGAGCTGGTACAGATCTTAGCTTTCTAGTCGAGTGCAAAGCCTGGACCTTGAGTCCCGTTCCTCTTGGTCAGCACGACAACGCGCTTTTCACAGGAATCCCAAGCAAAGCAATTTCAATTTTGAAATTTACTTATTATAATCTGAAATCTGAAGTTTCARCTCTGAAGTMTGAAATKTAGGCTTCAACTCTGAAGTCTGACAATTAGGCTTCAACTCTGAAGTCTGAAATTATAAATCAGYGAATGACAGTGAAGTCATTGGAACCTGGATGTAACTATGAAGCCGGATGATTCGTATTCGACCAGAATTTGAAACTCGAAAAGAAAAAAGCTTGAGTTTTGCAAAATATAAACATATTAAATCTGAAATATCCTAAGTCTGAAGTCCCTCCAGGGTTTCCGTAGTAAAACTGGTAATCCCCCCCCAAAGAAAAAAAAGATAAAAACAAAAACGAACGAAAAAAAAAACAGATTATGAGCCCGCGGTGAGTTACCCATAATGCACTGGATGATTTATGTAATGTTTTGTTATCATTACGACTGTTCTGGTTCATTCATTTTCTCCGAGTTTTTATCCCTTTAAGATTTAAAAAGGACCATAATACCACTCCTAAGGTAATCTAAAGAACCTATCCATGCTCTCTGTATTGAATTTTGTCATCTTGATTACAAATCGATTAGATTTTAATTTTCGTTTTTTTCTCTCTTATTTTTCAGAAACTCTTGTCACGGAAGGTCAATCAACTCTATGGGACGATATGGATAATAATAATAGCCTTCCCTACGGCGCAATTTCTTCAATAAATAGTCAACATAACTTATTACCAAACCAAAGATTCCATACTCCACCACARAATACTTTAGCTGGCAATGATCTTCAAGATCCAATTGCAGTAGCAAGGAATGTTCATCAGATAGGTTCTGTTCCAAGGGACAGGGTYAGGTTCACGTACAGTCAACAAGAGAATGGAAGGAACTCSTTRTCTGGAAGTGATAGACTTCATTTAMCATTTCCAAATCAGGGAATCAACGGAGTGACTGGAATGACAGAATTATCAACCTCTTCTACAGGCTCTCCTAATTCATTAATTAATCATCAAGCTATCAATGATCCATTATTAAACTCTAATGAATCAAATATTGGAACTGGGACTGGAAATGTTTTTGGTGTTAATAGATATTTCCAAACACCATGGTCTATGAATGGAATTACTCATGCYGAAAGACCAAACACAAATTCATACAGGCCTCTAGAACATGCGACTGGTAGACCTATGTCACAGCTGCCCACATTGACAGAACAAAATCCAATACAGTCTGGAAGCTGTTCCASTCATACAGCAATATCAAAGTAATTCTGCATTTTTAAATTCATATTTTTATTTGGTGGAAAGATAACWCTATTTTCATTGGGAAGTGTAGCTCATGTTTTTGTTAAGAGATCCCTATCCTTTTAAACTTTATTTAGAGGCAGTATAGTAACTCAAGTAATTYTTATTTTTTTGAAGAGCTAATACTTGTTAGCTGAGTTCACGATTTGTGTTTTATTTATTTCCACTTTTTCTCCCATGAAAAATTTGGAGAAAACTAAACTTAAACCCGATATTACCAGTAGCCATAGCAAGACAAGAAAATATATATTCTGGCAAATACCATGCTTTAGTGGCCAAAAAGTAATTTTAAATTTTGAAGTTATCCTCTCGGGTAAATAATAAGATTTCTCACTATTATTTCACAAACACAAACTAGAACATCATAACATTAGACCACATGTTTTCATGATTCTATCAAGTAATTGCTTTGTAATATTGTACTTCATATTTTCAGAGGGTTCRTTAATCAAAACTCTAAGAAGCATTTAGGAATCAAACGGAGAGTCAGTAGAGATGAGTCAGAAGATGGGTAAGGATTAAGTATTCTGTTAATTCTTAGGTTCAGGTCAAACGTCGAACTTTACACGAGTCGAACCTAATAAAAACAATGGATAACAAGGTGGTCTTCTTTGATGTGATAAGGTTCGGCTCATGTGAAGTTCGACGTTGACCTGAGCCTTAGAGTATTTAGTTATATATTCATATATCGCATTGCATCAAGAGCAGTATTTAAGTTATGGGCAAAATTTGTAAGTGTTGTGATGTGAGGTAAAGAGTGAGGAAGAAGAAGATGAAGACCACAATAGAGTAGGGGGAGGGGGTAGGGAYTGGTAGGGAGGGGGTAGGGCAAAACTATAAGCTTTCAAAGCTCCAAATGCCATTCCTATCTAAATAATATTAATTATTTTAAATCGGGACATATCTTATATTATCAGTGATTATACTCTCTCAATTGTTTCTTTTTTCTTTTCATCTTGTAGACTTCCAAGGCCAGCATCCAAACTCTTGCTTACTGAAGAAAAAATGGCAGCTAAGATGCATAATTTATCAATAAATAATGACCATTGTTATCATATCACTTGTCTGCCGACACAACTGGCTATAATGGAATCCAATAGTATATCCCCTACTATGTCAGAGAGGTATATCATATATGATATTATTCATATGTATGATATTATTCATATGTAAAAATTGCCTCCCAGTTGACTCTATTGGTTGGGCATTGGTCTGTAGTGTAGGAAGTCTTAAAATATCAGAGAAAAAGGTGCTGCCTTTGCTCTGAAAATATCTACAAATGGTTAGACCTTTGCAGTGGATTGGATGACGATGTACAATGGTGGTCGCATTCTGCTTAGAGACAACATAGCATGGAGGGACACAAGTAGTTATTATTATTTAAATCATTATATTATAGAAAAATGTTTTGTGCTAGTGGCTTACAAACCTTTATTCCAAGATCAAATTGGAATTAAGAAACTGATTTTTTCAGAGTGAGGAAGACTGGAGAAAAACCCTCAAAGCATCATTGGGAATCAAACCCATGACCCCAGAGGTGTGAGGTGGCCCATCAGCAGTAACRCCACATGACCATTCCCTGTTACTTTAGTATGCTACTTGAAAGCAAGCATAAAAGAAATCAAGTTCTCCATGTATTGAAAAGAGCACTGAAAAGCAATTGTTTCTCTTTCAAAACAGTGTTAGTGAAGATGAAGTCAAAGAGGATGACAACAACAATATGGAAAGGTATAAATCGTGCAAGGGCATGTTTAAAAAATTGTATAGCTTCCTTCCCTTCTCATTGGATACACACATTGTGATGATGTTTTTTTCTGCTAAGGATCTGCAAGATCAGTTTCAACTCTTACCTTGTGCAATACATGTTTCTCTGATAAGATGTTCTCTCCCTTACCACAGAGATGCTAAGATTGAAGTACRCTTACCCTTAATAAAGAAATAGAAAATGCATGTGTGTTGTGCAGTCATAAAGGATACAGGGGTTGGCAAACATGAGAGAAGTGTTAGGAGAAGTAGGACACATAGAGTGCTTCTCAACACTTTTCAAGTGTTCTGCCAATCCTCTAGTGCATGCTTGCTCTCATATTGATCACAAGTATCAACCAATCACAGTGCAAGATTTATAACAGYTATTAAAATCTTATTTTCAGCGCAAATTCATCAGGGTTCGTTCTAGCACCAGGTATAAAGGAGATGCTTTCAAAGAGTAATAATATATTGCCACAGTCCATATTAGATCAAATGTAAGTACTAATAAACCCTTGAGATAATGATTATATGTCATGCTCACTCTTTTCCTTGGTGTGACTTATTTTATTTGCCATTCACAGGTCAAAGCCATGTCTGGCTGTTATTCCATGGAAACCTCCAGATGAGTTGGTCACAAATATATCCTTCAACTTCAGCAACAAAACTGATGATGAAAAGATGGCAGAGAAAGATAGTAAAGAAAATAATAATGATAAAGCGCATCAGCTTTTCACTTTTGGAAACTATAGGTAATGCCTTGTTCATCATCATACATAGTTAAAACAACGGTTTTAATTGCACTCTCAGTGTAATTACATTTTTTTAAATTTTAATTGCGAAAAGGGAGCACAGCTAGCCTGTATATAGTCCTCCTCTCCCCTCTTCAAAGTGCTGCTATGCAGTCTAGAGCACAGCTGCCTAAAATAGTAAACYAACAAGCTTGACTTCAAAGCCTGTAGAGGTTTTTCATGGCAGCAATATCATAAGGCATATCATAGGACTTATTTTCTTGACTCACTTGCTTAAATTTGGTTGTTTTCAGTGTTGATCACACAGAAGTGATAGATGATTGTAGTACCTTTGACTTGGATGACGATGACATGGACCTATAGTGTTGTTAAAGAATCAAATTATTCCTTGGATAATTTATTGATGACTGTACAAACTAGATGTGTTTGAATAAATGCCTGTAATTGAGCTTGTTGTACAAGTCCCCCTAGYTTACAGTTCAATTTATTCTTGTGGTGCATGTTATCATAGCTGCCATGTGGTTGACAATGAAAAAGAATTCCTAGTTAGATCAACCAACATGGTGGCTGTTTCATTATACCTTGAGATGTTGAGTCACAAGGTTGCACTCCAAGAATTCCTGGCTTTCATAGCTGCCATCTTGGATGGATAGAGCAGTTTTTGTATGAGTGAGAAATGATAAACTACAGTCATACTTCATCAAGATCATTATGTAAATATTGCTTCATACTACTACTTCTACTTATTAACTAGTTTTCTAGTTTGACTAGATTGATTTAACTAAAAATAAATATGTACTGTAATTTGATTTATGAATTCGTAAATTATGACCCATTAAACAAAAGTAGTTAGATCCAAAACTGCTGTGATGTTTGAGAAGCCTAAATGATTTTCCAGTAATAAGTGAATATTTAACAYCTCCTTACATCATCATTGAAGAAGCCTCAATAATTAACACCATTTTGCATTCTTGTATTACAAAGATTGGAGAAAGACTGAAACCAATGTAGGGATCAAACCATGGACCACTTGCTTAGGTGATTATACACYAACTAGCCTGGGAATCTGGATAGTTTGTGCTTCTAATCCACTGCCTCTTATTGCTATGGTTGTGATCTGAGTTAGCCTAATCTCAGCCACCCCACAGAGTGCCGCTAAGTGGGATAGGATTGAGTAGGGTTGTTCATAGTCTCCTCAGCAACCATTTAACATATTCAGCCAGCTGGCATAACAATACCAAAAATGGCTGATTAGGAGGCTAGGTTTGTTGGTTCTCTTCTGTGTTRCAATGATTTTCTCTAGCTCTTCTACAGCCATTTTGAAAATAAAAATTCCCTTAGGGTTAGGGTTTGACCTTGTTGGGCTGCATGGGCAAGCATGGGCCACATGCCTAACTTTTACCTAGGCCTTGCTCTTACCATATTACACAGAATACCCATCATGATTAAACTGTCCAGCAAAAATGATACTAAATACTTCAATATTTTTTTCATTATTTGAAAGGATTTATCAGTCTATTTGAAAATTGCAAACAGTATGAGTACCACAAGGATACTCATAGTTAACTTTAAACAAAATYCCTTGACCCCTGGGAATCCTGAAAATAATTCATCCAATTATGACTCCTAGTTATGGTTACAATACAATATGATACAGCTACATTGAGGCTTCTATATTTATTTCTATCAGTCTTTTCCCACTGATACTAACTGCTTAAGTAATATTCAGTGCTATTTAGTAAGTACTGTTACACAGGTTTCTTGTCTGACTTTACTGTTTTTTTCTTTTTTTTTTCTTTTTTTTTTTCTTTGTGCCTTTTTATATTACTATGTTGTCTCTCTTTGTACTCTACAACAATAACAGAAAAACCTGTTTCTTGTGACTGTGATTTTAATTACGAATACTTTTGCTTCAAAATGTATATTTGCAATGACGTAGTAAAATAGCTCAACTTCCAAATTGTACGAAACTTTTGAAATATTCTTTTTAGTTGCATATTTGGTCATTTTTGGGTTGAAAACTCACTAAATACGATTCCCAGGTTCAATTTATTTACGAAATCTTTAAACTCCTGTCTGCATCTGTGCTTTAAGTTCCTTCAAACGATACGTCAGCGCAGATGTATCCGTTCTTGTTTGCAAACTGGAATCACTTTGACTGGCTTGTGTAATGTCACTTTGACTTCCAATAGAGCCTTTTGACGTCCCTCTAGAATCATCGCCCTTACTCGCAGCCACTTTCCTCAGGACCTGAACCAGGGCAGTCGGAGATACATTCAACTTGATAAGGTCCAGTATAATCTTAAAGACTTCCGAGTCCATTTTCACTCCACTCAGTTTACAAACTTCCAACAGTTCTTCATCGACAGTTTTTGGGTTCATTCGTGTCAGTGCAACCCTGTAAACGTCAGAATTTGAAGCTGAACGAGACATTGTGGCTGGAAGATAACTTTTGAACTTGTTTTACAAACTCTAATGTTCGGAAAATAATAAAACACTGGCTTTAAAGCTTCACAAGGAACTTGCTGTTAATTAGTCCGCCATCTTGAATTCCCTTCCAAACTCTCCCCGTCGAGGACCTGTCGAGAGAACCTGGGCTCAGCTTGAACGTGCGACAAAATCGACCGTACGGAATAATAACTAAACCGACCAAGACATCTATTTTACTGTATAATATTTTTTGCCATTTTTTCTTGTTCTCTTTCTTATATCTCATGAGAAACGACTTGTAGTTTGTCGCTGGTCGTAGGCCGTTAATTAATGACTTAAAGTTAAGGCTGCACAAATTAAAGTACTTTGGACAGAAATTATTATATGATTAAACTCCCCATCAAAGAGATGTTTCGACATTTCCGTCAAAAGAACGCGAACATGAAACTAACGATACGATGATTAATTAACAGTACAAAAATGCACCAAAAAGAATTAAAAGATGTTCTTGCAATGCACCTTCCGCCTTGCTGACAGAGTTACCTACAGTACGTACCATCACGTCCCCACGCCTCCCCCCTCCTCTCCTTCAACCTCATAGGCATATCATATCAGTTACCCAAGTTACTTTTACTCAAWAATCTAAAAATACGTCTAGTCAGGCATTGGCAGGAATAACCAAATAATCACAGTAAAGGCGGTACAAAGTCACAAAGACTTTGAAAGTTATAAAGAGATCTTCAATACTTTCCAACCCTCAACCAATCAAATCGCTGGATGTCAAATGCTTTTCAAAAGAAACCTTTTCCAAACAAGAATAAAGAGATATTTTTGAGCGAGGTTTATGCTAATTTAGTGTCAAATAAAACCCAAACAACAGTAAAGATTGGACCTCACCGAGGTTTTAAACAAACTTCGCTAGCAGAAAACATTTGGTAAAAAAAGGGAAAAAGATAGACACAATTAATTCATACGAGGAAGAATTGAAGTCAAAATATTGACACGATTGTGTCAAATTCCATAGTAATCATGGAAAAGCATTGAAGAGTTGATGTGATCTTTTTTGAGTGGAGCGTCGAAGATCGCGGCTTTACAAAGATGGCAAAAAATACTCTGATTTACCTTCGTATTGGCGAGGGAAAAGAYCTCCCTCCTAAAGACATGTAAGTAGAAACAAAAAATTAAGCTTTTGACACAAATTACTGATTGCAAATTATTAATTTCAGAGACGCCACTGTCTGAACTCGATAATTAATTACTATAAATCATAGTTCTGTTTAACATAACTCTTTGTTTTTCATTCTGATGATGTTCTTTTGTTTCTTACGTCCCAAGATCAGGGAAAAGCGACCCTTACTGTGCCATCAAGGTCGACAACGAAGTAGTAGCGAGGTGAGATCAATGAAAATTTCATAAAGTACAAGAAATTTTTTACTAGTTTCGGATAAGTGAAAGAATGCTTGTTTAGCTCAATGTTTATAGAACTCGGTTTTTTTAGTGGAATTAAACGTTCACGTTCATGCTTTTTTTCCAATTCTCTCCTCTTCTAATTTAGTCAGCGATTGAACAGCTGGTTTAAGTAATCGACCGAATTTAACTTCAGTGATAAAAAACCAATAGTTGGACTCAATAATGTGATCGAACTTTAAAAAGCTCGCAGAATTGTTTGTTTGTGGTCTAGACAAAACTTAGACGTTTTGACTCCTGATTAGAGCGTACATTCCAATTGTAATGGCTAAAAAATCTCATAATTTATCGACGGATTAAAGAGACTCGTTAATACTAGGTCTAGGGATTTTCTCTTCTCGATGCGTCACTATTCCCTTGAGGAATAAGGCTATACATTGATATCGAAATATTGAGTTTCATTATTYTCAAATGGGACAGCATGCATTAGAGTCTCTTTTGTATTTTTGTTATCGAGCGTCAAATCATAGTTAATAGAGGGGACCCTCTATTAACTATGGTCAAATACAGTACAATATGTTATACCATGCAACAGTGKCCCAGAAGGGACATGCMGCAAGTTAGACGAGTTACTGCAAATACGAAAGAAGTTGCTGCATGCTAAACAAGTTGCAGCAACTCGTCTAAAATTACATTAAGAAACTAGTTACTGCAAATGATAAACTATTTTTGACCACGTGCAGGACGGCTACAGTGTGGAGAGATCTCCATCCATTCTGGGGCGAAGAATTTGCCATGTTTCTGCCCGGCGGGTTTACGAATCTTTCCATCACGGTCTTTGATGAAGATACTTTCAGGTAAATGTAACGATCATAATGGTCATTTATTTACCTAATAGACGAATATATCTATCGAAGCAGCTCTTGCTGTAAACCTTATTACATACGACCATAGTATTTAGAATTTCAACCTAATAAATGTATGCACCAACCATTTGGRGTCTTCATCTCATAAGCCATTATTCAACAGTACTGGCAACCTCTTTTATACGAGCGCTGGAACGTCAATTTTAGACATAAAYTCTGGTACAAGAAACGACCATTTCAGGTCACTACCAAGGATGCCACCCCTTTCAAGGCACCTCCTTTTACCGATCTTCTACAATCAAGATAGAAAAGTGCCAACCTCTTTTATACGACCAGTCAAATTTTGGACGGAAAATAGAGGTTCATAAACAAAATTTTAGTTTGCATTTTTGAAGCTCATTATGTTTTTTCCACAAGGGAGGACGATCGAATCGGGAAGATCACTTTTACGAGAGAAGTGCTAACACATTGCCCCAGGGGTGTGGAGAAGTGGTTTCCCCTGTCCCCAGCTTACACTGATGATGATATTCAAGGAGAACTGCGGATCGAAACAACTGTCTTTGTAAAAGTAAGTACCAACATACCATTATTAAACAGACATTGCTTATGGCTGTAATTGTAGGCAGCTTAGTGGAGTCATGGCTTTTGTCGAGCGCGTTAGAGACCACCTTTCCCGCAGTATGGGCGCGTCGTTGCTGCAACGCAAAACTTATATAATTATTTCAGTTTAGCGGGAAAAACGCCGTTTTCAACCTAGTCTCTCTCAGCCAGCGTAKCCTTAGTTCTGAGGCCTCGCCGCAGCGTATATCTTCAAGTGCTTCAATAATATAGTAATATAGGTGAGAATTTACTCTTTCGTTTCATCGTGATTAAGTGAGGGAGCAGCGATCTTGCATGCGCATACTCTGACTGGTTCATGGAAGTTCAGTATGAAGTGCTACTGCTGTGAAGTAAATTCTAATAAAGGGAACAGGGTGTGATTGCGAGCAGAGGTAGTATACTGCTTCATTGTCGAAAAGTCTATATGCAGCTGTAGATTCTTATTTAGTGACTTCACACTAAGTTGCATAACACACCCATAARGTGAAATGCGCTCCCCTAGCTTCTTGGGAGACAAGCGTTATAGTTGAAGAAACTCGTACAATTCAATAAGCATAATATACTGTAGGTAGAAAATATTGACCTTTCTGATATTTGTTCAGGGAGATGTTACTAAAGTTAAAGTAAAGATTGTCGAGGCGAGGTAAGACAAAATGTATTGAGAAAATTACATGAATCTGGATTTGATTATCCAATTGGTAATACTACAAATCTAAATRAAATAAAACAAGTTAATAAGACCTAAAGATGAGGAGAGGAGAGGAGGAGAGCGAAGGTAAGTGAAGAGAAGGCCCCATCAACAGGATTAGTCAAACCAATAGCAACGGACGAATTAATCTATTCCTTCGTTAGAGATCTCCCAGAACACCTGTTCCATGATACCACGGGTCCATTCATCCATTTGATGCTAACAGACAAACAGAAGAGTAAAGAGGCTTTAGCCAATACACGAAGACATTCCTCGGTCATACCAAACAAAGAAGTAACTTCGTACTTCATTCAGCTGTGCGGAGGAGCCAACGARTCCTCTTCAGTAAGTAGAACACTAAGAAAAACCGCATCCTTCTTGTCTCATTACTGAYCCGTGCTTGCCTTTCGTCATTCCAGGCGTCCAAGCGAACTCGTTTTCCAAAAACCCAACAAGTCTTTGAATTTGAAAGCAAATCCTACACCAACGACCTCAAGATAGTTGCTGAAGTACTTGATCAAGTGGATTCGAGAAACTCCTTGGGGGAGGTGAGGGGAGTGCTTGAGGTTCAACATGACGTCATCATCGGCAAAACTAATGACGTCATAGATGTGTCATTAAAAGTTTGTCCTTTGTTAATTATACATTTAGTTATGTCTGTGTGCATGGGAGGATGGGCGAGGGGCAAGACGAAGAGTTTTCTGCACTACTAACACTATCAGAAAATTAGATCAAAGTCAACTCCTGACTCTCTCCCCCACGAGATAATGATACATCGTTACGTTTGTAATATTTTCCAGGCTGTAGTTTTTCTATCAAAGCATGTGGATGGTCAAACCAAGGACGTCTGGTACAAACTCTTTCCCACTCCATACCAAAGGCACCGAAAACCGTAAGTCTTCAACGTTATCGAAATTCACATGGTATAGTCGTTACGTTTCTTAGAATGGACCCTTTTATAAACTGGATGTGAGAAATGGAAATGGAACATGGAAATACAAAAGAAATGCCACAAGTTCCATCGAGAAAAAGTGTGATTTCTTTTGTGTTTTCATGTCAGCCTCGCATCCAAGATTTTGAGAAGGTCYATTTAGTTTCTGGTATTCATCTAGTTTCATCCGAGCGAGTCCATAACGATAACACGCCTTACTGATTTCAGTTCGCGAACCTGTAGCAACTGAAGGCACGCTACAGAAGATACCACCTCCTCAGGAAAAAAAACTACAGCACGGGAGGTTACTGCACCTTTAAAAAAATGCCATCTTCGCAATCATAAAAGTTGTTCTAATGTGCCTTAATTCCTTATTTTTCTAGAGAAAACTTAGGGAGCATCAGATTAAAAGTCAGCCTAATGGAGGAGTATGTCTTACCATCAGTATCCTATCAACCTCTGATGGACTTGATATCAGAACCAGTCACTGGGATCCCAACCAAGGGAGTGGATGCCATCAGCATAATGGAAGATATGGCTACACTGGACCACGCATGCGTTGCACGTCAAATGGTGAAGATCTTCATTGGTCAGAATTCACTGATATCTTTTTTGGACTGGATTACTAACAGAGAGATACAGAGAACGAGTAAGCGCATTCTGAACATACTCGAACGYTTGAGACCTAATTTTTGTAAATTATACAACACGAAAAACTAGCTATTATAGACCCTTTTCCCTTGGGTGTAATGTTTTCCCCATTACAGATCGTGTCATTCCCTAGAGTATCATTTTTTTGTTTAATGGTTGCGTGTAGATCTGGGTTTTTGACTTCCGTCAATCAAATCTGCAACGGTCTGGGTTAGTAATTTTGAACGAAGGAAGACAAAATCCAAGAACCTGTGACCCGAGTATCAGGCCCAAAGGAGGGGGAAAGGGAGGAAGTGAGAGAGAAGAGCCTGCTATTTAAAACTCGTTTCGTCCCTTTTGGCCATGAAGGCTCCTCTCTCCGGCCCTTCCTCCCTTCTCCTCCCCTAATCCCGAAACTCAGGTTAGAAATCAGATGAAATGTTTTTACATTAGATCTGGACTTTTTTTCAGCGAGTCTTACTACATTATTCAGAGGGAACTCCCTGGCATCGAAGGCAGTGGAACAATTTATGAAGGTAAGAAAATAGATAACCCAGCCTTGATGTTTCGCCAGTTCACTTCTTGCCTACCGTATCACTTTATCYGTTGTTTTTTTAATCAATTGCCGTTAGATCGTAGGGATGCCATACTYGTACAGTGTTCTCAAGCCCACTATTGACAGGATTTTCGAGGAACACAAGGTGTGCGAGCTGGATCCATGTCGCGTCGAGAAACCAAAACCCCTAGGAATAAGGTAATGGAATTAGTCACGCATTCTCTGTTCCGACACATTCTTACTTGTTACTAATAATCTGAAATCTAGAAATGACACTATAGACCATCGTTTTTAGTAAGGTACTTCCCGAGACGAACTTGCCGACCTTTAAGTCGCTTTTACCCACAACGATTTCTCATTGAACCTGTCTCTCGAAATACACCGTTGCGGGTCGCACAAGCTTTTGTACGTGCTACAAACACTTGCGTAACTTGCATCTTCAAATTTTTTTGTTGCAGGAAAAGTGGAACTACGTTTTACTTTCTGCCAATTGCACAGCTTTTCTGCGCGATTTAAGTTGCTACGGAATTTCCGCGTTTTATGATTATGCGTACGTCATTCCCTTGAGCATTACTCCTTCTCTTTGCGGTCTGCGTAGCAGGTCCTTAGGGAATTTTTGGGGCCTGGGGATGGGAAGGAAACTGGGGAGGTCACCCSTTTCCCCAGATTTCGCTACGCAGGCTATACATAATCTTATTCTCAATAATATTCTAATAAAAAAACGTAATACCTAAAGTAAAGAGTATATGWTAATGATGATGTTTTCTTATGATCGATTATCAGGCGACTGAGTCTTCGTCCAGAAGATGACACGATCGCTCGCAGCGTTTTAACCATTCGCGGTTRCCTGAACTCTATCATGACGGCCATCTTGAAGTCTGTTCAAGAATGTCCTGTGTTCATGCGAATTGTCTTCAGGAATCTGGCCAGAAGGGTTTATCAACACTTTGGTGAAGACTCTGGAAACGAGGTGATTCACGACATCCCTGGTTGGGAGAATCAGAACAATTGTAATAAGGGACCAGTTATCTACCGCCTGGTGAGGGGGGGGGGGGGGGGGGGGGGGGGGTGGTCGGAGAATCACATTAGTTTTAGACAACTGGAGGAGGTATAAGTTATAGTATAAGTAGGGATCACTCACTAACAAGAGAGTAGCAACCACAGTTTTCAAGACCCCAAGATTGGGTCCACATTGAATCAGGGCCGACAAATATAGGCCTCTTCTATTTTGSGCGTTTCTCCGATCAAAATCACATCATTTCCTTTAGTATTGATTTTTCAGTACTTTGAATATATCAATTAATTTGAACGTCATGCACTCATTCGACCCTTTGCAGGAATTTAACGTCGAACTTGGTGGTAAAGCAATAGAATTTAACCTCCTAGAACACGGAAATTGGCTTCCTTTAAAATAAGCTGCWTTAGAAAGTGTGACAAAGCTTCCATAACGCATTCCCAGATCAACGAAATGGGAAACACTAAAAGCTACGGTAAAGACTCCTTAGCTTCTTGTTTGCATGCGGGTTTAGTTTTGATATAATTTCCTTATTTACAGGATCTGAAATACCTTGCAATCAGTGGGTTTTTCTTTCTCCGTTTCTTTGCTCCCGCCATTCTTGGCCCCAAGCTTTTCAGCCTCAGGGATCACCACGCGGACAAAAGCACGTCTCGGACACTTACTCTCTTGGCAAAGGTAACACGATAATTAGTCGAATCATGTGTATCTGCTCTCTGAATGGCATTTATTCTTAGCCAATCAAAAAGCACCAAACTGTCCACAATCCAATCGCAGTGCAAGAATGCGGAAGCGATTCTAGGGCCAGCAATCACGTTTCCTCTGATGGTCCACAATATCTGTTATAATTCAGCTTGGGTTTATTTTCCTCCATTTCAGACCATGTGTCAGTCCTTTGAGCATTATCTCTCTGCTTACCAGTAACGCATGAGAAGAAAAACACAACATGAATTTGGATTCATGAAGTCAATGAAAAATATTTATTAAGAAAATGACATGTGGCCTGAAATGGGAAAACGATAGCTGAATTGGTCAATTGCTATACTAAGAACAAATCAGTCATTGTTTCCTCTTGTTTATGAAGATAGTTCAAAAGATCAGTAACCTGGAGACGCAAGTCAACTCTCGTAACGAAGAATGGATGGCTCCTCTGGCAGGCAGCATCGAGTTGTACTCTGAACAGCTGAGGGACTTCTTTGATAGGATTATGGACGTGGATGATTCACAGGGTACAGGGAGAAGCTACACGCTTCACTATCCTATTTACTGTAGTCATTCGTTGTCCCAACACATTCTCGATCCCAGATTCCTGTCACTCTTTCGAGAGTGGACGATTCACGGGGTACAGGGAAAAGCTATACACCTCACTATCCCATTCACTGTAGTCATTTGTAGTCCCAAAGTATTCTCGATCCCAGGTTCCTGTCACCCTTTCGAGGAGTATGCTCAGGGCTTCGAGGTCGACTGAGGTTATCCCGACATCACAAATCTGTTTTCCTTTTGTCCCTTAATTGTATGGTCATAATATCATCATCTTCATCTCTCCTCACGCCAAAWGGCCTTGCTTGATATTTTGACAGATGAAGACCTTCATCCACTAGTTTTTKCTGATCGCTTCAAATTCCTTCAATCATTATCTTTTTTCTTCCTTTAGTACCCGGATGTGGCCATCGCCGTAGTGTATTCGACCAATCRGTAATCATTAAAGAAGGCTACCTCAAGAAGTGTCGTTTTAACATCGTCAAGCTTCCCAAGGCCTTCGTGTTCAAGAAGCGCTATTGCTGGTTGAGTACAGAGAACTTCCTCTACAGCCATGCGCCTGATGCTCAGGTTGGTTACACCTACAAAAAAGATGTACAGAACTACAAGCGCATAATATTGGACCGAATGAAAACAACCGTCTTCATGYTATGTAACACTTATCGTTGTCATTGTCCTGCGCGTTATCATGTCATCTACTCACAAGAAATACTTTTTCCAAATAGACCTTTTACGAATTCTTAGATAGCATTATATTCCTTGATTTACAGACGCATTCACTCAGTGTTAGCCTAATATTAGCGCGTCAAAATATTCAAAAATAACAATGGTAAAGTTAATTAACAAAATGCACAACTTCAACCATATAAACTTTGAAATTTTCAGACCCGCCAGTTTTTGCCGACACACAAGATCGTAGCGGTAGAAAGAGTGGACGATTGCGCCTTCCAAAAATCGAACGTCTTTCAAGTGATAAGTGAGGAATATGAAGGCGCTTTACAGACACTTTACTTGTCGTGTCAGGTATGAAGAAAAACAATCTGTAACAATTGAAGGRCTTCCTGTGGTAGGAAGAGGGAAGACTGAGAAAGAGATGAAAAGCTTTAAAGAGTCCAGAGATGTCCAGCAATTCCGAGGCCGAGCAAAAAACTGGGTCGAGTTGGCATTCCAGTGCATTGTGGGGTTGTTTTAGGGGACATATTTCCAAGATGGCGTCTACTTCGTCGTACCCAGAAACACTCCCACTATAAAATGGAATGGCAACTCGACCCATGGTTAATACTAATGAGAAAAAACTCTTACAGGATGTCAATGAGATGAATCAATGGATGTCTGCGATCAGAAAGACGATCGTCTCCAATCCACGTGTACTGACTCTTTATCATTCAGGAGTCTACCATCGCCGCAAGTGGAAGTGCTGTGGGAAGGTTAATAGAGCTTGTAAGTAGTAGTAATCGATTCAACACTTCCAACGGATAACAGYCACCAACGTGTTGAATTATCAGTCATCATTTCCATCAACACCATTAGGCCCATCAACATGATCATTACCAACACCTTCATCACCTCAAGCATCACAGCCACTAGCACCGTTTTTCATCATGATCATCACCACCATTACCGGACATGAACACTGATCATCACCAACACCACCTTTACCACAACCACCTCCGTTTATCAGTATCATCGTCATCACCATCATTACCACCATCRCCATCATAAACTCCGATCATCACCAATGACATCTTTACCACTACCACCTCTGTTTATCAGTTTATCAGGATCATCGTCATCACCATCAATACCATCATCGTTAACAGCATCACCACAACTATCACCATATTACCTCCACATCACTATCATCAAGAACACCCTTTTACGATAGATAGAAGATTAGCGTATTTATGATAGCTCAGTATGGGTTGAAAGAACTGATATATCCTATTTCTTCTAGGTACTGGATGTAGTCGCAGCAACGGTCAAGTGATCCTCAGCGACTGGCGAGATCCACTGGACCCCGATGCAGAAATCCAAATGCTCTACACACAGCTTTTCCTCAGCCGCGATGAGCTCCAACAGAAATTCCTTGAAGGCTCGACCGGGGGGGCTAAGGACAAGCCTGGTGAGTGTAAGCCTCGTGATGACGTCAGAGCAGCTGTGGCCAACCTCTTAGACGTGATTGACAGGTTGTACGAGTCACACCGGGCTTTTGAAAGAAGGACATCGAAAATGAAGCTATGATTGCGAAGAAAGGAAAATACTGTTTAACTAGTCGAGGTAGTTTATTTAAACATGTGGTTGAGATTTTTTAGTGAAGGAACCAAAGCCGATGCTGACACTAAAAGAAAAACCTGTCACTGGTGATCCAGCATGATAAATGTCACCTTAATGTAAAAGTAAAAAATATATACATTTTAAATATAAAAGTAACTTTCAAACCATATGAAAAAATGCAAGCTGACGTTGGAAGATTTCTCAGTTACAGAAGTTAAATAAAGTGCAACCTTATTTGAGGCTTGAGGCACAATAAAATAAGACTATTGTATTTTGTATTGTTTATTTACTATAATTACTAATAGACAAAACAAAAGGTCCTCTAACAATTTATAAGAAATACGTTTAGCTCTATTTACATCTTAAAACTATATAAATATTTTTTTCAACCATGTTTCAGTAAACTGGYGCAGTGTTTGCCAAACGTCGCATACGTCTGAAACAGATAATAGAAAAATAATCAGTAATGGAATTGATTTCTTTAGTTATTTTYAAAACTGAACAATTGTAATCATATGACAACTAATTTTCCTTCTATGCAATTTCATTTTATAATAATGATAGTATATTTTACAACCATCAATCCTCTCAAGTGGTACTTTCATGAGGTCTGCTCCATACTCCATCTTTATGTGCAATATATACAACACTCAACTCACAAGTTGATTTTTTTAGAGGAAGAAAAACCAGAGAATCTGAAGAAAACCCTTATGGCAAGCTACATAACAACACTTCAAACCATCTCAACTCACAAATACAGTTCATTCGAGACTCAAACACACAACCCCAGATGTAAACTATGCAGTGGTGAGAGGCATGGACACCCAAGGGTAGTGATAAAAAAGGGGATAGCCTTAATGTTGAATTAATGCCAACACAAACAGCTGAACATATGACTGCATACCTTGTATTTCTGTCCTGGTCTCTTAACTTCTTCTCCATCTCAGCATCAGTCAGTGTTTCCAAGTAAGGTCCCCAGTTATCAACATCCGTTCCTGACCGTACAGGGTTATCCAGCTTGGGTAATGGGGCCTCGCTGAAGGCATACGTTTTCTGGTGCCAGCTCAGCTGTCCTCTGATACTGTAGGCAATGGCTGTCACAAATTCTCCACCAAGGCCAAGGTCAGAGCAGAGACCTAATGCAAACTGCTCTGGGTTGTTTYGAGGTTCAGATATATCCCACTCAAACTGATCAACAAGGGAAATATTTCCAACATGGATGTTCAGCTTGTCAAAGTAAGAGAAACATCACTGGTTATTCTAAGGTTATGTTGATGATTTGACTTTGACAATAGCAGTGATAGTGCTTTGTTGGTGTTGTTAAATGTGTCCTTAAATTAASACAATTTGCTATCCAAAAGACGGGGTTGTGCATGATTATTCTCAGGTTTTGTTTWTGGGACTTGGGTAACATGCAGCAATACATCTTCCATGTTGATGTTTTTGTGCCCAGTCATGATGTAAGTCTATGTTGACTTGTTCCACTCACAACTTTTATTTGACAACTTCATCAGTTGATATATAATTACTGTATACATCAAATAGGGAAAATATGGGGCTGTGGAATGAAGTGGGATGAAAGCCACTGCACCACRGGCTTCCCAATCCATATCAAAATCACAATAGGATCCAAGCAAGTTTCTCTTCAAACTTTGGTCACATGAGATGTAAAAACGTACAGGAAACAAGAATAAGGATGGAGAACAAGAGGTTCAGCGATGAATTTCAAAGATTTAAAAAATAAAGAAGATTTAAAAATAACATTTTAATTTCAAAAGCATTGCAAAAGATCCACTGCAGATGGAAAGATCTCGAATCTTTATCAGTTAACAGCAATGGAAATGGTCATTCAAGAAAAGCCAATYAAAAGATAAACCTTCTTCTTACATTCCCACATGACAAGATTATCTTTTGAGTTACGAATTGTTTTGAGGGAAGCTTTGTTTCCACAATTTTCTCTCTCAAATCTTGTSAAGATGGATCATTTAAATTTCATTATCTTCAAATTGAGCTCAGGACACCCCATCTTTCTTTCTTCATTTTGAATATTTTAAAAATCTGTACCAAAAGTTTGCTTATGAAGTTTTCTCATTATAGTCAGCCACCTTAAAGGATGACAGCTGAACAATTTCCCGTGAAAAAAACAAACAAATACCTTGATGATTATTCTTTGATCTTTCTGCTCATTTAGCGTTATTTCTGGTTCCACCTCAAACTGCTTGGCCTGTTGTCTGATAGCCTGTGCGATGGCTGTCACAAATGATGTTGCTGGTAGATCAAGGTCATCACACAGCACTTCTGCAAATGTTTCTGGGGTGATCATAGTTTCTGGAAAGATAACATCCCAAATATTATCAATATTTCTGGCCCTCGTTATCAAATGGCAGTGAGTAAAGARAATGCAATATGTAGTCCAAGAAAATATCTATGCCTTTCCATCCATAGGTAGATCTAACGATGGTACCCTACCCAGCACAGCTCACAAAGTACTATAATCCCTGCTTGTTAATTGATTTGCGGCACATTGTCAAATATACCACTCAAAGGTTAAGCTTTTATTGTATACTCTATAATGTTAATGGGTTGATGTCGGTAGTTATCTTACCATTTTTATTCCATGTAAAAGTATCTCTGAGTTTCTGTCCTTCAATATCAATATCAAGTCTTATAGGGACAAGTACCTCAGGTTGTGTTGCTGCCTTATGTATGGCCTCCATATCATGGTCATCATAACTGTACAGAAAATAGATGATGATGATGGTGATCAATAGGCATTGACAAAGACATCAATTAATTGATCTTATACAGCACACCACAAGACAGATAAGTGTAAGATGATTGGACGGACAGCATACTGAGACACAMAGACAGGTCAAGATAAGTTGACAGACAGACAGACAGTAATGAACTACACATACAGGCAAAGGTTACAAGCCTCCAACATAGTTATAGACACCCCCAACACAGGCAAACTTCACAGACAGAAAAATATTTGGAATTAATTTAAAGCAGTAAAGTTTTTTCTGCATTACCAAGTGGGAAAAGTTCTAATTCTCTTTGGTCCCAGTCTATTCCTATTGACAGCGGTAGAACAAGGAACTGCATCAAGATGATACGAACTACTTGGAAACAACGTCTGGGGCTGCCATGTTGTCCCACGCTTTGACTTCCCGCTAGCAGCCTGCCTAGAGGATTCCTGTGCCTCTAAAGATATCTTATACTTATCATCATTCCCTTCTAATATCTCTTCAACCTCTTGTGCTTTCAATAAAGTCACGTTGGTCGCCAAGTTATTGTGACCGAAGCCAAGAGCGACAATCTTCTTGCGTTCGTCTAAAGTGGCTAGTCTACGCCATAGAGATGGATATTTCTTGTATAAGGAGCCACGGAACATACGCAAGAAGTTCCCTACTTCGGAGCCTATCATATAGTAATCTCCTTCATCCAGTTGGAAGGACTTTGGTTTTTGTCCGTATGTTCTGAGCGCCATCTTGGATTCGAATGAAGAAAGAACCCAGTGACCTTTGCGTGACTAGATTCCTACCCAGTCCTTTACTTGAGCTAATTTGTGAAATTTTAAAATTTTCCCTCTGTTTGAAGTTTCTTTTCAAAGAAAGTATTGCCTTCTTACGTAAAGATTTGAYTTTTCTTGATTAAGAAATTAAAAATGGATATCTTGATAACAATTTCCACAGAATTATTCGTAATTCAGAGCGCGCAGTTTGACTCTTCCCACCTCAACTTTGTCAAAAACTAAAAACCTTTCGAAAAAAATAACGAGTTTTCTATGAAGAAAATGATATTCCTAACTAACCCCCCTTATCATTAATTGTGAGATGAATAGAAAATGGATGATTCGGCAAAAAATGCACCGATTTAAGCTTATTTSCACTTGAATTAAGTAACGACGTGCAAAAAAATTGGCTTGTTCTCTCTTTGTTGTAGGGGTTCACCCTGTAGGGATAAGTTGTTCCGTGTAAATGGGCTTTAAGAGTTCCATGCATTGTAATTTAGCAGGAATTGACATTTTTCGAGCCAAGAAACAGTGTTACRAATGTGTAAGAAACGGTTCATTCTGACTCAAAAAGAGGACGTCATTGAGACTCGAGAACACTGAAATCTTCTCAAACAAACCAAGCTCCAAACTTACCCTGGTTTCAATATTTTCCTTCTCAGATGTTCTCGCTTCATCAAGTCAACTTTTTTCCCCGACATCTGTCCAGATTTTGTGCCCAAAGACACTGCATTCAAGTGCAAAACCGATGAGTCGAGTGTTTCCCGCGAAAATGCCATGACTTGAAAACCGCGACTTGCCAAACTTGGCCGGCGGGACCACGAAACCGCCGTACAGACAGGGATGGGAGTGTCTGGTAACCTATCCCTGTACTTCGTACCAGCTCCTTGTAAAATCTCCTCAATCTCATCTGCTTTAACAAGCATGATATTCGAGTTGGATAAACTGTTGTAGCCTATGTCTAAAGACAGTAAAATCTTGCGCTCGTCAAGATTRGGAATCCGGCGCCAAAGAGAAGAGAATCTCTTGTAAAGGGCGCCTTTTTGAAGATTCAAATAATGACCGACTTCGCTGCCAATCATGTAAAACTCCCCTCCTTTTTCTAGTTGAAAACATTGTGGCTTTTTGCCGTTAAAATGAAATTCTCTAGTCTCGTTCTCCATTTTTGAAAATAAAATCTGGTGATGGCCCATAATGCCGCTCGACAATGATTTTTGTTTATAGCATGGGAGGGGTAGGAGAGTCCCTTTTTGACTCACTATAGGAATTTGACTTTTTACGTCAGTCAGTAATTTCATACTATATAATAAATGCTGCTGAATCATTTCTTTATCATTTCAAATTTGTTTTGTTCTGGAAAATGACAACCACAGTAAAAAATAACATTTAGTCCATGCAATGAAACAGAGTTGCCAATAATTGAGCGATGGGCTCCCTGTGTCCTACCTATTTGCATACAAAACGTCATAAAGGAATTTGAAACCGCGCGCGTACATCGTCCAACAAAATATGATTACCAATGAATGCTTCTATTAGTTTTGTCCTAGAATAGGCCTATTATTTTTATAGTTATTATACGATTTTTTGAAGAGTTCAGCATCCTTTTTGGAAGAAWATGGCGGCAAAAAAGTACAAGTACAATGTCATCAAGGAAGCGTTTGCGAACGCAAGTTCGCACTTGACGCTGGAAGAAATTGAATGTGAGCGGAGAGGATACAAGCTGACTAAAACTATCCTTGGATCTGGAGCTTACGCTAAAGTAAAGATGGCCTATGCTATGGAAATAAAACAAGAGAAAGACAAACGATTGTCAGATGACTTACACACGAAAGGACACAATATAGTAAGAATTCTTGCGATAATATGTGATACGATTGTCCTTAAAGAAAGTGAACAAATGGATAGATGGAGGACTGCACGAAGAGTAAATGAATAATGACATTTTTTGACAATCTTTCAGGTTGCAATCAAAATTATTTCAAAGCGACAAGCACCGATAGAATACCTAAACAAATTTATGCCAAGAGAAATCGATGCTCTTAATGCAACTGCTAGACATCATAACGTGGTAAGATATCCAGTGACAGTTTACTAAATGTCCATTTCTCTCTCTCTCTCTTTCTTCTTACTTATTTCCTTTCTCATTCCATCGCATTTTTTTTTCGACGCTGCGTCTTCCTTATGATCTGTTAGAATTTCATTTCCCATTTTTCGTTTTCATTTTCCATTTTCCTTTTTAGATTCAGTTATACGAGACATTTCAGTCCAACGACAAGATTTTCATGGTCATGGAGTACGCATCCAAAGGGGATTTGTTGGATTACATCAATTCTCGCTGTCGCCGATGCGTGGGAATAGGAGAAGATCTTGCCAGACATTTTTTTCGTCAACTGATCGAAGGACTTTCACATTGTCATCGCCGCAATGTCGTTCATAGGTAATAAAATAGTTCTAACATAATATTAAAACAAATATTTCTTGTTTTATGAGGGTAGCACTCAATAGCGGCGCCAGTGCYGGGCTAACGAGCCTTTGGCCCTCATTCCACGATCAATTAGGAATTTAGAAGTTGATTTTTGCAGAGGGAGAAAAACCGGACCGAGAACCTGGAGCAAAATCCTGGAAGCACAGAAGAGAACCAACAAGCAACTATATCGGAGATACAAACTAATGACGACCGCGGTGATAGGCGGCACATTTTCAGCGTGCAACACGAGCATGAAACTTGCTTTGCAGTTATCGCTTGCTCACATACTAAGTTATTGAAACACTTGTTCTTTGAAGGGACCTGAAATGTGAAAATATTTTAATAGATGATAACAACGTCATCAAGATTTCAGGTAGGTCATAATCATATACCACGTGGCTTATAAAGGAATTTGTGAGCCTTGGGCTCCTGGCCTTGGTTTTCCGATTTCAGACCACCTGTCCTTCCCTTGAGAATGAAATACTTTGTGTGAGTTGTATCCATATTCAATTTTCTTCTCGTTCTTAATCGTTAAACAAAGAAATGATACTCTAGAGAATGACAAGTGATTTAAAATGAGAAAATATTACACCCGAGGTTATAAAAGAGTTCTATTACGATTCTTGAAAGGTAGCCGTGCCTTTGTATCGAAGCGAGACGAACGGTGAGCTTGCAATAATAGACGTGAATAATTGTACAAGGTGTTAATAAAAGGTCTCAATCATTGCAAGCCCACCGTTCTTCTCGCTTCGATGCAAAGGCAACCTTTTAAAATGGCGCAGRAAATTATGAAGGAGACTATTTAACGCCGAATAATCATTGCTGAGGTGCAACAAAATCTATCTTGGTGATCATTGTCTTAACCGCACAAATAATCGCTGGAGTAACCGCTAATGCCGAATTATATAARATATGCTCGGAGCACTAAATTATTATGTGATTTTTTGTCAACAGATTTTGGGTTTGCGACCCAAAGCCCTAGCAACATGGCCAAGCTGCTTGAGACATTCTGTGGGTCGTATGCATATGCTGCGCCAGAGATTCTCAAGGCACAAAAATACGATGGGAAATGTGCTGATATATGGAGCTTGTAAGTATATCATTTCAAGTTTTATCGAGCTCTGAAACTGAATCTCTAGGCTGATTAAAATTAGGGCACGGCTAACACACATCGAATTAATAGGACGTTTGCATGATGGCGTCATTTGACTCCCACTACCATAATGCTTCGTGAATTTTCTTTCTTATCTAAATTTGTATTCCCTCATGAGAATAGTAAGACAATTGGTGCTAATYAACTGAACAAAAGAAAGTGTGCGAGGGAGTCTGGTAGTAGAGGTCAATGACGCCATCATGCGAACGTTCTATTGGAAGCTAGCCCGCTAGGTTATGTTAGGATCTCTCTTGAGAAATCCAACCCGAGGCAAATGGTGGACGTTCGTTGAATGCAAGGAAGGAGAAGAAAGAGCGATCATTTTATTTTGGCCGCAGTTGATTGCGAAAGGTTGTGACTAGCTCGAACTACACCCATGTCATTTTATCTTCTCGAATGGTAGCAGCGTGTAATATAAACAAAGAAATRATACTCAAGGAAATATTTTGTATTCAGAAATTCGATAACTTTGACTCTAAAGAAGAAGAAACCTTTTGCAACTCAATCTTGTCAAACAATAACTAATCAATTTGAATTTTCTTTGGTACGTAGAGGGATCATGTTGTACGCCATGATGTGTGGGAAGCTTCCTTACAATGACAACTGCAGTCTTCATTCACTGATCTTACAAACTAAAGGAAAACTGACATTCCCTATTCGTGGTTCCTGTTCACCAGGTATTGCTATATTCTTCTTCTTTTCTCTTTTCTTTTGTTGTTGTTGTAAGAAGATTGCTGCTTTTCGTTTAGGAGATTTTAGTTACGAGTCGATGTAAGGCATCAAGTGCAAGTAGTGATAATATTTTTTCATTTTTCTATCAGCCAATCACATGCCTATTTTGGTCCTAGTTATTTAAGCCAGMTGAGACCAAAACGAAAGGAGAAAAACGAGGAAAATGGCTGGGAAGCAATTCCTTAAATTTTCTAAGAATAGTCCCCTTCACAGTAGTCTCCCTCGCATCCGTTTTTAGTGTCGGTCGTCACGCAACGGAGCGTTGCGTGACGACCGACACTAAAAACGGATGCGAGGGAGACTACCTTCACAGTGCCTTGCGCCATCTTGAAAGGTAGCCGTGCTTTTGCATCGAAGCGAGAAGAACGGTGAGCTTTCAATGATAGAGGCATGGCGCAGGGAATYGTGAGGGGGACTATTAAACGGCATAATAAACGAATCCCAAGAAGTCCTTGTGACGTAAACAAACCATTTTAATTTATTTTGTAAGAATGCCAAAGGCTTATCCGGGACATTTTGAAAAACGATCCCAATGARAGAATCACCATCAGCCGAATGCTTGTGGATCCTTGGTTGAACGAAGGCAGACAAGAGGTAAGGCCAGACAAAACATGCATGCTCTGGATTATGAACATTTGACTGTTTACGGATACGGAATGTAATTGGGTTAAATGTTGTATCTGTCAGAAAAAGAACCTAGATACTTAAAAAAATTTAGAAACATATAATCTAATATATACTGCTGTGCAAATACCACTATACTTTTGAAGTTATAATCCTGTTCTAGCATACACGTGAATTTAATTTACTTCACGAATAATGTATTAAGATATATAGAACAAGAATATCTTAAAGGTCAATGTAACATACTTTTCTCCCTTGAAGTAGAAGTATGCTTCCTTCACATTCAATCGTTTGATGGACAAGGACTTAAAACCGTAGGCCCCGTCTGTCTTCACTATATAACCCTATGAGGCGGACGTAAAAGACCCACTGAAGACGCTGGTGACGACCATCTTCGATGCCTGTGCTAAACTCTACAGGCCCCACTATAATTGGCAAAAAAGCTGTTGTGGTGTCCCTGCCCTCATGGGGAAAAGCTAAATAAATAAATAAATAAATAAAGATGTGGGTATATATTTGACAGATTCCAAGGACATTATTCAAGAAAGGAATTTCCCCCATGTTATCGCCTCATGTTGAATCTTTACGCGAGACGAAGGGACAACGTACGGGGACACAGGATGTTGGTTCCAAAACCCCCGAGCCGCCGCAGAATAGAACAACACGATCCCAAACACCAGGTAATCTTGCTTCTCACCACTCAGGCATGGGTGTCACTTTTGCGCTTGCCTATGGAAAACGATTGTTGTAATTGTGGAACTGTCCGCAAAGTGAAACCGTTCAGTACCATGACCGTGCGTTATTCTAACAATTTGGCTGGATGAGCAGCAATGTCATTGGTTCTTAATCATGCGCTGTTACCGTGCCGTACTGTTACGGTGCGGTATCCTAACAATTAGGCTGGATGAGCAGTAATGTCATTGGTTCTTAATCATGCGCTGTTACCGTGCCGTACTGTGCGGTATCCTAACATTTTGCCTGGGTGAGCAGTAATGTCATTGGTTCTTAATCATGCGCCGTTACCGTGCCGTGTCCAGTRTGATTCACACTTTTTATCTTATCATATTTTCAGTTGCAAAACAAGGATGGTCATCTTCGCCAAASACACCCGAACCCAGCGCGGTGACGAAGCTCTTACACAAGCGTAACGCCAAAAGACTTGCTTGCAGGGCATCAAAATCCCCGGCAATAGACCCATCCCCGGTCCTCGAGTCGATACCATCAACTCCCGTGGATGATCTAATGGACAGGTTGTCACCTTCTGTTAATGGACGCTCACCCGCCTGTGCAAGAAGCCTCACTCCTGGGGTACAAACGAAAGTGACCAATAGGAAGGAGTTGCCCGTAAAAATTGCGCGGATCATTACGGGGCCGGAAACTCCTAAAACATCGAAGAACTTGACCCGGGAAACGTTCGTGATAATGAGTCGAGCGACGCACGAGTTACAACAGCATAAACAGATCAGGAATGATTTGCGTGAAAATAGACAACAAGTATGGAGATATGTCAATGAGCTTTCGTCACAAAACAAAAGATATATTTCACCAAGAGGTAAGATAGACTAAGGCAGTAAACCATTCAAAATGACGTGCGCCGGACGCACGATGCACGGACGGTCTTTTAGACGAAGGCCCCGTCCACACGTCGTATCCGGATGTTTTGAAAACGGAACTTTTTCTTTGCAATGGCCTTAAAAACTTTTCGATCTAAAACAGTTACGTGTGGACGGGCGAATACGATTCAAAAACGTTACGTTTGAACGGGAGTTTTTTAAAAACGGAATATAAAAAATCTGTTATCAAAACTATTAAAGTTACGTGTGGATGGGGACAAAGTTAATGAATACATGAATGCGGAATTTTTAAGCTTTCGCTCACTTTATAAACGAGGCCAACCAAACTACCAGATTGAAGAGCTAGAGATTTACGCGTTATTTCTACTACTTAAAAACAATGAAATACACTGATGAAATAATTTATAAGCTAGGAAAGTAGTATTGGAATGATGTATCATTGATCTCTAGCTGAAAAAACTCAGAAAAACAAATCAGAGTTCCTGATTAGGAATGAAATATATTAAYCTTATTTTTAGCCATCTTCTTAAGCAATTGTACCTGCCTTTACTTGTAATTTAATCAAGACCCACCCTTTGAATGAAAGCTTGAATCCTTCCACTATCAACTTACATCCCATCCTTCCTTYCTTCCAATTTAAGGCCTGCCATTTTATTTTCTTTCCCAATCCTCTATTTAGAAATAAAGTCCTGTGCAGTTAAATCCAATCTTCTTCTCAAGACCGTWTGCCTCGACACCCCTCCAGAAAGTAAGAAATTTTGYCAGTCAGGCATGGCACCATGGAAAYGGGTCATCGTCCACCAAAGGCATCATGGATCACCTTCAATACCTAGCCACCAAACAGTCAGGCGTGACGTCAAAAGAGGATGCGCCAGCTCTGGTTCCAACCAGAATATCTTTTTGGAAGATATGATTTCAAGCAGCCCGATGTATGAGAGACCAGTTCGAGGGGTTTTGTACAAGCAAGGCTCGCCACGGAAGAGTGTGTCGCCAGCAAGACGCGTCTCTTTTACACCAAATAGAAGAAGATAGGCCAACTATTTCTGCATTTAGCTTGTGTTTAGAAATTGTATTATGTATTATGCAATTAGATAGTGTTATTTTAGGGCTTCTGCGCCCCGTTTGAAGTTACTCTTAAAATAATGATAGCACGAGAGRGTAATCTTTATGTAAACTGTTAATTAGAATTGTGGTCAAGTTCGACTGGCGAAAGGTTCGCGCATTTGTACTTCCAACAAAGATATTACGACTCCGTAGAGCCAGGCTCAGTGAGTACGACAACTACAGTGCGCCACAAGTGTGGTGTTATCAACCACAGAACCACACAAACTTTCCCGCGAACCACTGCAATTCCCATGAACCAACCGAACGCCGAATCCTCAACTGTCCTCCACTATAGGTGTATCACCTATCTCAATTATTGCTAATAAAATCTTGAAAACCACCTTTATATTTTCGTCTTGATTGCGCCGTAAAACAGTACAACGACTGTGCATCGCAATGGAATAAGATCAATCAGATTCGTAAAGTTTTTCTCTAATTTTATTGATCGTTTGACGATTTTTACAGTCTGTTAGACACGCATGTTTAGTTTATCGAATGAAAATCAAGTGAAATGCTACCGGGTCCAAACCATATTCAAGGTCAGCCAGGCTGTCGCGTGGTCGAGACACAACCAAACCCAAAATACAACTTCCTTACGTTTCTGAATGGATTTTTGGCTTCGGTCRGACGGTCAATCATGGCAGCTAGAGTGCATACCATATATCCGTAAAAAACGTTGTAAGAAATTGCAAAACTTTGCACAAATTAGTACCATGTTCAGTAGACCTCAGTAGACCGTAGACTTACAAAGCTTTGCACTAATTTGTACAACTGTGTTAGTTAACCTTTCACGGAAATATGGTATGYACTGTATTCTTTCGTAGTTACTTTGATTGGTGAAAGACAGAATTAAACCCAACTGTTTTGAACTTCGATTCGTCTGGGTCACGTGAATATGAAATAGGTGTGTCCCCTTGAGACTAACGCATGACATCAAGCCTCGGTTTTACGTCGAGGCTCAGTGTAACCCATCTACACCAGGAACCCCACATCTCTTTACCTTGCATTTGAAAAATTATAAGCGGATGCCCATGCTTAAAAACATTTATAGGCTTAAAATTACCCAGACGGGGATTTTGAATGTAAAATATACCTTTACACTCTGAAAATCTTTACATTTACATTTTATACATTAAATTTTGCAATAAGTTTWAAATTTTCCCCGCAGTTATACTTAGCCTGTATAGACTTTACACGAAACACCTACTCATCCAAACAATTCCCTCTCTTCCACATTTTGGTTTTCAACCATCCGCTCTTTCCCTTTCCACTAAGTACAAATTCTCGTCCAAATTTCATTTCCTATGCCTTCCAAACTATGATCCACATTTCACTTCCTATTTCATTTCCAATTTTCATTCTCATTTCTCATTTCTCAGTTCCCATTTCATTTCCCATTAATCCTTTCACAGTTTTCCTAATCATTCCCATGATAAGTACGTCGGTTTGTGTATGTACGAAAATCCCTTCTCCCTAGGCGTCGTTTTCTACAGATTAAGTATAACTACTCTCTCAGATATTCATTTTAGTTAGCTGAAGAAAGCTTGTTTTTTAGGACTAGACGTCGACCAATTCCAACCTTTTGAAAATAGTTTTCTTCGAGTTCTGGTTTCTTCTCCTTCGCTTGCTACTGTGCGCATTTGTTTTTGTACTTGCTCGTCTATTAATGAAGCCACATCGTACTAAAAACACGAGAAAATGATGTTAGGAGAAKGTAGCAACACGAGTAGTTTAGAAGATAAAAGGCCCCTTTGTTTATGAAGGCTCTCCCATTTAACAATTAAGCAGCACGAAGAAATTGCACACAAATCGTACCTGCCACTCCTCGAGTTGCTTAGATAATTCAATTTTTTGCTGGATCGCTTCCATGAGCTGCTTGTCCAATCTTTCAACCTCTCTCTTACTCTTTTCAAGTTCCATGGAGGTCTCAGATTCCCTGTAAACAGCAGCAATAGAGATTTGTATGGAAGACCACAACACAATGATAGCATCAAGATATATACACTACATATGCTTGCTTTAAACGAAGTCAAACAACTTAAGCAAAGCGTTTTCTTAGAGCAAATTTCGCATGACTGTGAAAAACGTGCCCTGACCGTGACTGCGCTGCCTCTAAGCATTTTGATTGCCTAAGCAATTGTGTGGCGCGCTGTTATTGGTTCAAAGGAAACCATGATCATGCCGTTTCAGTCATACGGAATCTGCATTATCTAATTCTGCGATTATCCGTGCCGTTAATGCGTCTGAGCATTTTGATTGGCTGAGACAAATTGTCTCGCAAATCTCGTACCCACAGCCTTTATTTTCTTACTGCGCAGGCTCGACGAAATAAACGTCGAGCATGCGCAGTRAGAAATAAAGGCTCTGAGTACGAGATTAGGTCTCGCGTGTTGTGATTGGTTTAAAGRACCTTACTAATTCCATATAATAACCGTGACCGTGCCGTGTGATGTCCAACTAAATTACAACTGAAATATAATTTTATGTTTGAATCATGGGGTTACCTTCTCAGCGCCTCTTCTTTGTCTTGAATAGCTTGTTGATAAACAGCGTCAAAAACTAAATTAGGATCGCATTCCTTCAACACTAGTCGCCTTCTTTCTTCATTCAAATGTTTGATTTCGTCTGCACGATCGTGGAGCTGTAGTAAAGACATCATTGTTATAATCTTTGTATCACAGCAGTATAACGGATAGATATATTTACTATTTTTTGCAGTCGTCTTTGCGCGCATCATCCTATCACAGGCTTTTGACAGCGTATAGCTACGGCAACGGTAAAATATTGTACGGCTAAGAACCTGCCGTATTGTATCCCACTCGTACCAAAATCACTTTGTAAAAWCACCTCAAGCACGACCTTGACTCTGTTGGTTTTTTGACACCTTCATTTTTCACCATTTWAATTTAGAATTCTTTATCAGACACGATTTTGGCAGAAATTCAACATCTTTAGTTTCTTTTAAATAATTAATTTTTCTACTCCAACAAGTGAATTTGAACGCAGTACTTACTTTGTCTAATGAATAGTGGTATTCAATACTTTCCTCATTTCCCATCCCCGCAAGTCAAAAAGCACTGGATTTGACACTTCGTACCCCATTATCTATTCGTTTGATAGACTTTTAGCGCTAAATGGAAATGATAATGATTTTTCGTCTGTATTTATATTGTAACTTAACAGTTCGCGCCAATTCATTGCAGTGTCTGATTTTTATGTTAATTTTTAATCAACTCTTTTTTTTTTTTCAAGTACTCTTATCTTGAAACGGCAGGAAACCTTTTCAACGCTTGAGAGAATCTCACGCTATATTGTAACTGAATATCGTACCTTATCTTGTAGTTCGATGATTTTGGCTTCTTTTTGGTTGATTCTTTTGTTTGCTGTGGCGACATTTTCTCTTAGATGTTCCATATCTTTGTTGGTTTCGTAGAGGCTTTCTTTGAGATTGCTAATTTGTTCTTTGAGGTTTTCGTGCACACTGCCCACCATTGAGCCGGCATAACCCTGAGGGGAAGGAAGGGATTCCATTGTTAAAAACACCTTCAAGAAGAGAAATTAGAAAAGTAAGATCTGGTAAAACAGTTTTAGCAGATAATTGGAAAAAAAACGCCGAATAACCAGGGAAAACAACGAACAAAACAAACCAAACAAACAAAAGCAAACGAGTTTTTCTTATAAATTCTATATCTAAAGTTAGCGTCATAAGGAAGAACMATATCAGTCTATGAGTATCTAGTTATGGACTTCTGACGATATATAAAGAAATTATATATATATATACAAACRACAAACAAATTTATTACGAGCAAATAAAATCTTAGCTTGATAAAATATATACAGTAGTAATAACAGAGTTTGGCAACTTGGCAAAATTGAATTAAGTGAACGGAAGTCTGCCCACCAACTGAGCATCACGATAGATGGTCCAAGCAGAATCCGGTCGAGAAGCGTTAAAGAACCTGTGTTTACGATTACCAAGGTACTGCGCATGCTCCAGAAAACGGCGGGGAAAATGGAGATTGAATAATGATCAAAAACGCAAAATATTTTCTGTATATCTTTCGATTACAGTCTGCTACAAGTGAATTTTCTACCGCATTGCTGCATTACGAATTTCCTTCATTGATATATATCTTGGGGGCCGGATCTCTACCTCCGCAAAAAGCGTTTATCACCTTTTCTCTGTAAKTTTTACACGTTCAAGTTCGATAGCAAACAGCAAGACATTTCTCTACAGAATACGCAATAAAAAGAAAAATGAACAAAAAAACTTACCGAGTTTTTTCTCATAACGGTTGCTTTATGTGAATGAATAATCTCATCGAGGACAGCTTTGAAGTTTTGCACGAATGACGTCAGACATCCCGATTGGTAATCTCTGTTCGGATCCAAAGGCTCGACTTTTGCCGTGGGTTTATCGTGATGGCGTCGTAGTCTGTCGTAGTATAGTTGGAGCTCATTGTGGGCGTCAATGATTTCCTTTTTCAACTGTAATGGTGAAAAAATAATTATTTATCGCGGACGCATTAATCATTTATGGGCGATAATTAAAAAATCACGTAAAAGTTGACCTAAAATTGCAAACATGACGTAGAGTGAATGACAGAGTGAATGACATAGAGTGCATGAAATTTCGTATAACTAGTGTACACGGCACGATCACGGTACAGAAAATTTTCTTTGAACCAATCATCGCAGTGCGCGAGGTCCAAACTTATCCAATCAAAACGCTCGAACATATGACCGGTAGATTGATTTAATCAACGCTCACTGGCGTGACGACACTAATAGCGGCTGCGTAGAAGACTACAGACATGTACAGATAGAAAATAGACGGACGAAAACAGATAGACGTAGGATGGCCATAGCTGTCAAACAGAAAGACAGACAGACAAATAGACACCATCTTCGTCGTACCTCAGCATTAGTGTTCTGTTCTTTCTCCAGCTGTGCATAGAAATCAGTATTCCTGAGTGTGACTGGACCATCCACCTCACATTCATTCTCATCGTACTCTAGATCAGAATCATCGCTATCTTCTTCATCTGAATCGACGCTAAAGTACTGGCGAGGTCTTTTGTTTGACGACGAGGCAGCAAGTGGACGGGGACTGCCGTTGACGCTAAGAACTGGCAGGCGGCGTTGGGTGCTCTAAGGAAATAAATTGGATTATAAATTTCATTTATTACTTATTTTTATTCATTCATTTAGTCGCACCACTTCTTATTGGAATTATTTTTTCTATTTTGCATCATTCAATTATCCATTTATTTATTTGTTTATTCGTTCGTTCGTTCGTTCGTTCGTTCGTTCGTTCGTTCATTCGTTCATTCGTTCATTCATTCATTTTCGAGGAACCCAATGTATCTAAATTTAATTTTTTTTCTAAATTCATATTTATCCGGTGCTTTTATCTAAATTGCGCTCCAAATGTGGGAAACAAAAGCCAGTCTTTTTAAATTCATCCATGAATTTAACAAAACACAAGATGGCGGCTGTGGAAACCATCAACACAAGCCAATTCTATATATGGAATACAAAACGAATAATGCTTCATACTTCTAGAAAATATCATACACAAACTACGAGAAAATTCTTTGACACCACGTTCCATCTATTCATAGTTAATAGAGGGGAATGATTACCCTCTATTAACTATGATCTATTGTAGCATCGACTCAGCTGAAGAGCAGCCCGCTGGGATGACTATAATTAAAGGTTTGTCGCGAATCAATTAAAGTGACAATCAACACTCAAGTGAGTTGTTATTATCAGCTAACGAAAGATTCGCTCCTTATTTAAAAGGGGTATTCATTTTCACTAGTTTATCACGACAAAGGAAGTAAGCCCACGTCTTCCTATTTTCATGTTTCGAGAGCAGAGGCGTTTTTTCCTCAATATTTTTTTATCTCTCGAATTGTCTAGATCAACACTCACTCTAGATTACACTAGAGTGGGTTTCGTATGAGTAGGACACGTACGGCAGTGACTGACGTGCAGTACGTACACGGTACGGTATGACATAACATCGAAATGGCTTYCCATTGTTTTTGTGTAAATCATCCAACCACAACATAGAACTGACTACGAATTTTTCGTATCGTTTCCCACGCATTTGAAATCCACTCTAGCCAAGTACAGAACTGTCAAGTGGTAGATCATCATGTTTTACCAACCTCTTTSGTTTTTCGTTCAGATTTCACGCATAAATCATCGTTATCCAACARAGAAACAGACATATCAGACAGCTCGGAGAATAAGGAACCCCGCGAAGCCTGGTCTAATGAAGCCTGTGTGGGCACAAGAGGTCAACATATWAGCTCATGTGTAGATGAAGAAATAAATGACCAATTAGTCTAGCAAGTATAACCTGATTGTTCCAGGAAGTAGCTAACTTTAAATCGAAACATATTCCCACTGAGAACCCCCACACACGATGGTTGGAGTGACATACCAAGTTATGGGAAGATGACCTTCGAGGCGGTAAAGAGCGGGTAGCTCGCCGTGAAAGGCTTGTTGATTCATTTTCGCTGGGTGGTGGGTGGGTCGTTGAGCTGGTCTTATGCTTGAATACCGAACTGGTGGTTGAAAGAGGGTTATTTGGTGTACGGCAGATTCGTGTGTGGCACGAGCTTGCAGTGGGAATATGAATCCTAATTCTATAATATATATCTCGTTTTGAGCTATTTMTAGTTACGGAAAGTTAACTAGATTCATGATGCAGATTGGCCGTATATTCAGTAGAGGGTAAAGTCTTTGTTTTTGATGAMTAACTTGGTTCACGGACTACGGAACTGACGACAATATTTGAACCAATCACAGTTTTCTCACATCAATGCGCGTCTTATGAAAATGCTGGAACAGGAAACCGTCACGGTCACGGCACGCGCCTGCCGCAAACCAAGTGTTTGCTTTTTAGATTGTTTTAGAGTTTAGCAATGTTTGGGAACGATTTAATAACGAATTTAGAACAAAAATTAAATGAAGTTTTGTGATTCACCTGAATTTTCATTTCATCCAATTGATCTTGGAGGTGCAGGTTGTTAGTTTTGCTTTCATTAAGCTTGTCTTTAACGTCTTCGAGCTATAGAAAAGGCAAGTTCAACAAAAATAACGAAATTAAAAATGGCACTTTCTGCTGCAAAAATGTTTCAAACTTTCTTTCGAAATGYCTCGAGGCTCTTTGTTAATTTGACTTTTACCTGAGTTTTGATATCTTCATAGTTTTTCTTAAGATCTTGTTCTTTTCCTCGTAATTCCTCGTTATCTTTCGCTAAAAAATCTTTCGTACTTTCCAACTCTTCTATATTTTGTCTTAAAGAGTTTTTTTCTTCCTCTTGACTAGAAATCTGAAACAGAAAAGCCATAAAATACGTAAATAATAAAAAGAAGGTCAGAATTTGTTGGAAAACGACTTTTATGCACTAGTCAATAAYTCCCACCCACCGACCCCCGGGACAGGGCGTGGAATTTAACATTCACGTAGTGTTAAATTTAGGACTTTCCCCTGGTCCCCCGAGCAAGATTTTCTGGTAAAATTGTTAAAGTGCTGAAGTACGCGTTAAATTCCCCGTACATSTGTAAAATTAAATCCCCGGTCTCCTTGTGTTAAATCCCCGCCATGTACCGGAAGTTGGGGGTTACAATTTACTATCCACAACTTTACTCTGGCCGCTTGATTAAAACGTTCCTTTATCAATCTATGACTTAAGGTATACATTACAGAATAATTGTCAAAATATCTATCTGATTTGGTCTTATCATATTACACCATAAATTACTTCTAAGTTTATATTTTTTTATATTTTTTCCAAACTTGTCAACCAAGCTGCAGATGTCAGAGATAAATATCTTGACAAATTTTAGTACATTTTCACATGAAAATAGATTTTGGAATTTCTCTAAATATAGTCAAAACAGAATTARGGACTGTCAACTTRAATTAAGCTATTTTTCAAACTTAAWTAATTTTGACAGAAAAATTGTCATGTACAAAATATTCCATACAGGTACCAGAAGAAAATACCTCATTCACCGCAAAGCTTAACAAACAAACACATCAGTCAAAAACCATAATGCTACCAGCAACAAAGTACCAGTAAAAAGCAAATATTACAACAGATGTTTCATTTGATTTGAAGATAATYGTCAGTCTAATCATGCAGGTAATGATTGCTATAATTGAAAAGAGCAGATTCAATGAACCATTGAAGCCAGACATATTAAGTTGACTCTTCATAAGGAATAAAACGAGTTTGGAAAAAGCAGATAAATTAAGCTGAAATTATTTCACAATGCCTTTTCTGGAATGAACAATTATTAAGTAGTTGAAACATAGATTGTAATTATCATGGGTTAAGGAGTTACGTACAATTTGATATTTCAGTATAAAAGATAATAGCTCAATATTCAATATTGCGAGAGGCATTGATGCACAGAAAAAAAAAAAAAAAAAAAAAAAAAAAAAAAAAAAAAAAAAAAAAAGAAAAAGAAAAAAAAAGAGAGAGAAGAACCAGAAAATGTTTTAAGGCAATTATATTTTCAAAAAGTTAATAGATCTCACAAAGAGTCAACAACCATGCACAAAGTCATGTTTTTCAATTATGACCCGAAATATCCTCAACAAAACTATCGACACTTAATCATGTTGATGAACGCTTTTAACAGCCACCCACAAACCCTTAAGAGTTCTTGGACAACCAGCACTTGATATACATAAACATATGACTATAGTCTTATATTGCTAAACATATGACTATAGTCTTAAGTAGGATGTAGACAGGTTAGTGTATTATAGATTATTCTCAAAATTATTGTGGATGTATGGCTAATATGAAAATATGACAAAATCAATTTGTGGAATTCCTTTCATATTTTCATGTTAGCCTCGCATTCAAGGTAATGTTAATGAGTCAAGGATAAAACAGCTATCATGTTTGACTTGACTCTTTTCACTTAATTGAAGATAAGGATAATGAGTATAAGACACACACACACATATATATCACGGCAGATCAAAGAAAATGTAAGAGGGAGAGCAGCACTATGTTGATAAAATAGAGCAAAGCTGTGTCCATTACAGCCCCCCTAACTATACACCCACCACTGCATATAGGGTAACCAATTTGTTACCTTTTCATAGAGCTCTTCTATCTCAATTTGCTGATTATGGACGTCATCAATGCTAAAAGTTCTTGATAACTGTTGCCTCTTGAGATTGTTGAGTTCTTCCGATAGCGTTTCATTCTTGGTTCTCAGCTGAGAAAAGACATATTGGTTATTGATATGATTTTTTTTCATACAAGTAAAATTATATAATTGCAAAAATAATTATATGGCAAATGATGACTTTTTGGTAAAAGGAAAGCAGAAATTTTGAAGCACATTTTTGGCAATATGGAAAAAATAAGGCCTTTGACTTGTTATGAATCAAAAAATAAAGATTATAAAGGTTATAAAGATTTTTAAGCTGTTTGAGGAATGTGAAAATAGAATATCCTCAAACCAAAAAAAAGTGAATAGGAGCTCGGGAAAAAAATCAAATCCCAAATAGGATATTATTCCTTTCAAATAATAAAGTATTTCTATACTTTGTTTCTTAGCTAATGCATCTTAATATTTCCTCACATAAGAATATGAATGTCTGAAATATTTTAGAGGCTTTTCAATAAAGCTTTTTTGGATTAAATGGTTTCTATGAGAGTTCTATCACCTTGGAGATATAGAAAATGATGCCTCATGCATTTTTTAAAATAAAGATACTGGGAGAAGTATCTAGAAATATCTCAATTACTTTCGTCATACGTTTTTGTTTAAACAAGCAAGAGTGAAAGTTAAAAAAATGCTTTAACATGGCAGCTCTCCTAAAACAATGTTGTCAAAAAAACTATATTTAATTGCAATTATAGAAAATATTTCTAATTTTAAAGACATTATTTGTAAATATTAACACTGATTTAAGTATGTGGTAGATAACTAAACCTAAGAAATGTATATCCTGAAAACGGCAGTGAAAAGGCTTACCGTACTAGCATGTGACTGGTTTTCCAGCACTAAAATGGCTTTTCGAACACATTACTGGGTTTTATATTTATATTAAAAAATATAGGATGCTCCTAACATGCTTCACTTAGCAGAATGTTGAATGACATAATTTTTCTTACATCTACATTATAAACAATAACGACAAAACAAGCAAAACACTGATATCACAAAACYAAGGAAATTTTCTAAATGTTCGCATGATTCAATTTTTTCAATATTCTCTTTATTTTTAATTTTACAAGAAGTTATCGGCAAAAGACGAGTGAAGTGTGTAGCAGCTGCTCAAACACCACACTTGCAAGATTCTAGTTTCTTTTTGCCATGCCTCGCTAACAAAGAGATTATGGAGATAACCCTTAAAAAGGCCAGTTTTTCGCACATAAGCACATCTACGTTGTATTTGTACGCTGTTTTTCTTCTTCTCGAGAACGATAAAAAAACTGGGCGATGAATGATGGCGCTCCACAGATTCCACTTCACAAAACATCGGAGTCCAATATCGAAGAAGAAGCTTGCAATTTAATCAGCCGGAATCGATGACAGAGATCGTGATGTTGCACAACTTTCTCTATAAACCAAAAAATTCTCTTCGATAAAGTAAATCTCTAGTTTGACATCTTCGGCGCGCTTGTACGACCGAATTATGATCGAAATCATAAACATCAACAATTACAGTACTCACGGCAGATACTCTGTGAGGTTCAAGCAAGTATTGCTTCACTACAGACCAAAGTTTAGCAAATAAAACACCAAAATTACGGTGATAAAAGACTTTTCCTTTTCACTAAGAGAAATTTAAACTTTTCGTAGAAAACTGCTGCTAAATTCGCTCAAATTGATGTCTCTGGTGGGATATCCGACATGTCAACCGACGTTCGTCCATACTACGCGCGTTCTCTTCAAAGTATCCGGAAAAAAGGCTCAAGTTTCAAAATTCAAGATCAAATTTCGACATTCTATTTTAAAATAACATTTCTCGGATTACCAGTTTCAGTTTCTGGGTTCCGGTACAAGTGTATTCCCCTAAAAATATTATTTTTGAAATATTTTTCTTATATGACATGGCCATCAAAATATGTAGCGAAACTCAATTATCACCAAGGACGGGGCTATAAGATATTTTGAAGTGTTTTCAAACTCGAATCTATCACTCTTCGCCTACCTGGTATAATTCTGAGTGCAATTTCTCATTTTCTTCGGTTAATCCTGCAAAGGTTTTTCTTTTATGGGCTGAGTCCGTTAGCGAGGCGGATTTATGAGAATGTAATTCTTGACGTAAGGATTGTATGTCGGCTTGAAGTTCTTGTACTCTCGACTCATGAGCACCGCTCATTCTTTCTATTCTTAACCTCAATTCGTATTTTTCTTGTTCTAATTCCTGTAAAAGAATAAAAAAATACAAGCCTCATTAGAATCATTCAATCGCCTATCCACGCTTGGATCAAAAAACGAAAACAATCATTGCTAAAAACAAAAAAAAAGTTTACCTCTGCTTGTTGAGAATATTCCTCTTGTAGTCGCTCGTATTTTTGAGACAATTCTTCATTTTTTTCCAAAAGTGCTTTTCCCAATTCTGCAGCCAGTAAAAGATCTTTCTCTTTTTGAGCAAGCAACACGTATAAATCCTGTTCCTCATCATCCTCCTCGTCATAATCATCGTCTCCATTGAACTCATTTTCTAGATCATAGTGACAGTTGTAATGTTGTTTTTCGTCCAACTCAGAACCTTCGTCGAGTAGCAGCTCTTCATTCGTTTCTGTTTCTTCACAATCTCCCATCGTTAGGATACGAATTAGGTCTGTTTTTGACTTCATCTGTTGGTTAACCTCCTGTAGCCGCCATGTTCTTAGCGATCCAGCTAATATAATTGCAAATGAATAGTCAACGCGTGTATCGCCTTAGCGATTTTTGACGAAACAGCCTAAGTGTTGGAWATTTTAATATTCATGTTTAGCTGGAAATTTATTCACTTCAGGGGTTTACCATAATTTGCAACCAATCATAAAAGCGTGTTTGGTTCCGCATAGCCAATCGGGGGCTATTTTAGTCCAATTTATGTCTGTCATTATTTGGACAGACACAGTTCGTCATCAAACGTCATCATCGGGCTCACTTCACACTTCCTTCACACAAACACTTACGCTTGATTGATATCCCACAAAATAATAATAATAGTTTTCTTTTTCTGAACTTTATTTATTCTTTTCATTGAATTTCTGCACATAATTGTCTAAAGTTTCGATATGCACGTCGTTTGTGTGGCGTGAGCGCAGCCAGGATTTGGTTCCTGTTCATACTAATACTATCACAGGTAGCCCAATTTAGATTAAAGCGAATGGTGAAAATAAAATAGTACAACAACAACAACAACAACAAAAATAATAATAATTCTAGAGCATTTTTATATCGATTTTTTTACTCTTTCGTATTACGGAGGTCATTATCTTGACCTCGAATTAAAAAAAAAAAAATTATTTAATTTTTCCGATTTTATTTTCACAATTCACTTTAATCTAAATCGGGCTCACTGTGATACTACGTTTATATAATACTACAATACTTCACCTTGCTTAAAGTACCGTTTAAACTACTTGATTTAACCTACATACATAAGGACCCATTTCTAATAGTGCGTTGGGGATGGGGCCTAATCTTTATTTTTCTTCATTACGAAACTCAAACTGAGAAAATAAGGTGTCATTCAATTTTCATAAAAAGTGGGGAGGCTACTCCGGATCCCCACAGACTCTTCCGTCCCTAAAACGAAGTGACCAAATTTCTTTTTTGACAGACAAATATAAAATATTACTAACAATTACGCTTTTTAAAACACTTTATGAGCTAACGAAATGAATATTTTTTTCCGTTGTTGACTTAGTATCAGCATACATACCTTCATATAATGTCTTAGGGTTTCTATGTTCGTTTTCTGATGCATTAAGATTAGCCCGACCACCTTTGTGTCAATAGATTGTCTTGTTTGAGCCACTTGGTTTTCCAATTAGCGATAGATCAAATCTCTTTCAGGATGCGCACTTGCTTTCGTTAGGACTCGAAAGCAACCTATGTCCAACATTCAAGCAAATCAAACAAACATTTGTGCGGAAAGTCCCAAATGTTCAGAGCGGATTTGTAGCTTTGCTTTCCAAGCAAGATGATAGAGGAAGGGGAAAAATCGAGAGACACGCGCCGTGTCAAATTATTTCAAATTTTTTCCTGTGGCAATTTACATATGCCAAGCTAGCACAGTGGTGAGGGTCAGTAAAAGCCCTAAAAGCCTTTTTTTAAATATCCCAATCTCTCCATCAATAAACAGTTTTTTTCTGACGTCTTTGTAGTTTGATATCCCGTAAAACGACTGATCTTTTTAAGACCAACATCCAAATAAAAGCTAAACCGGAACTCATCGATCGTGGGCTCTGATGTGGAAAGATAAAAACTAAATGTCGTAAATTTATCAACCCCTACATGCTATCAAATATTCATCCCGTTCAGACAGAGGTGCATTACCGGAGCTAGCCAGAAAGCCTGCGAGATCAGGAGCGGGTCTACGAATCGGAGAGGGGGAGAGGGGAGGGGGAGGGGGGGGAAATCGGCGTTATAACAATTACCCCCGGAATATGCAAAACGAAGCCAGAGGATGCAAGATGCAAAATAAAAACCATTGGTTGAAGCTAGCGGGATAGAGCATCCTTAAAATCATTCCAGAAAGGATATCAAGAAAAYACAACGTGAAAGGCACTTAGCTGATAACGAAAGAGACCAACGAACGGTTAAATTCCACTTATGTAGCAGCTATGAAAACTAGCAACGCGAAAGAAAAATTTCCGAGATATGTTTTCCCGTATTATTTTTAGTTTACTTTCAGGGATTTTTGATATGATTCCAGTAATAGGACAGGAAAAGGTGAAAATCCTGGGGACTTTCGCATCCGTGCTCAGGTCAAACGTTGAACTTCATATGAGCCGAACCAAATTTAAACAGTAGATAACAAGGCGGCCTTTTTTGATGTGATTGGGTTGGGCTCATGTTAAGTTTGACTTTCGAACATTTTWATTTCCTCTACGACTCTTTGAAAATATATCGAGTGCGATGTTTACTATAGAAAAGCACAAAGAAAATACCAATTAACACACCCTTTGGAAAGTGTTAACTTGTGTTTCCCTGCTCTGTTCTGTTRTTTCAGTTAACGATTTTTTAAGTGTGGTCTGAATAGTAGGCTTGAAAAGGCAAATCACTAATAAGTTGCTTTGCTTCTTAGATCTTTATCCGTGAACGAGGTTAGGAAAGGCAAACAGGATAGACATAAATTCACAAAATATGTAAGAACTCCATAAGAATAATTAACACTTGATGAGGCATAAAATCAAGTATTTTATTAAAGCTTTTACACTTTGACTTGTGTATCTTTTGTGATAAATATACATTTACAGTGATTTCAAAGACAAGAACAGAACAAAATGAGAATTAATTAGATTCAGTTAGGTTGAAAAGGTCCTAATAAACGGACGAAACTAGTCCCTAAACTACAATTGTGTTGTTGTTAGTGCGTGGGGGATTATAAAAATCACCATAGAGTGTGTATAGAAATGAAAATGAGAAGAACAAATAMTCTACGATTCACTTACATGCATGTAAAACGATATACAAATGTACGATATCTTACTTAGCACTCAAAATTGAAAGAAATGAATAAGGAGCAACAACTTGAAAGGAAGAATTACATCTATAATCTGTATATTATTTTCAGTATCGGTATTTCGTGGAATAATCTTTAGGAGACACCACCAAGCCACGTCCTTTCCTCGCACCTCTATAGACCGTCTCAACAATATCTATCATCTCCTGCTTGTCATCCAACGGCCAGTTGATTTTATTATTGTTACCTGTTCCCAAATCAATCATAATGTGCTTGTTTCGATAGAAGAACATGATCGTACAAGGATCGTAGAGTTCATACATTTTGTTAAAGTCAGGGACTTTGCTTATGTCTACCAGGTAGATGGCAGCGAAATTCTTGACTCGATCGGCAACTGAATAAAGTACTTCGTCCATCTTCATGCAGGCAGGATCCCAGTCGTGTCCAAATCGAATGATTACCACACGGTCCTCCTCGGATAAGATTGCTTGATCAACTTGCCAACCGTTCTCTAGATGGGACAAGAGGTACGACATCCTCTCTTAATGTCAAATTTATAGCAGAAAGAGTGAAAATACTCCTTTGAAACCAATAGGGGAAGTAAACGAACGCTTTAGTAGGTGAAGAACCTGAACTTCAACCAAGTAAAGAATCAAGAAGGAAGCTAAATAAAGAAATCTTAACAAGACGAGGAAGGAAAAAAGTCTTCTTTGATACAAAATGGCGATATTCTATATTAAGACCATGATGCACTTCGAGCCTACTAGACCCAGTTACTCGTTATGACAACCACAGGGAATCCAAAGCCAACGACAAGCTTGAAATACCCTTTCGCTTTATTTACTAAACTAAACTTTTATGTTATTGTCATTCATTAGGTCGCATACTTTCATAACCTTTTAAAATGATAGCAAAAATTTTTCTGAATGAAAAAAGTGGAATTTAAAAAAATAAAAAGAACCAGTTGGGAAACAAATAAAGCGTGGTTCAAAATATTCAAATCTTACGTCAGCATATAAAATAGTACCACGTGATTCAAACATTGCCTGACAACAAACATGGCGGATTCGCATGAAAAAGAAAGCAAAGAAGAACAATCCAAAAAACACGGAAAACCTCACAATGAACGTCTAGAAAATACAGAAAGAGACTTACAAATAATCTTTAAGAAACTTAGAGTTGATAACGAGCCGTAAGTATTTGCACTTTCGTAAAAATTTTCGTTTGAGGGAAGAATTGTTTGTGAATATGTACTCGTCAACATAAGACGTTGATTTTTGTCAAGAATCTCGCTCGTCTTGCTACTGATATTGAAGAACCACCGACTGTAGAAGATAACGAAGAATGGGACTTGTGTTTTTAGATTAAGCTGGGTTGGGTTTTCACTCTTGGGAAGCAATGGGATACAAGTTACTGAATTCCGAAGCTTAATTAGTGTCGTTTATTAGCGAGAATAAATAATGTAATCTTTAACATTTCATTGATTGAGTAGAGAATGAAAAAGGTTTATTGAAAAATCGTTTTTAAACATTACCAAAGTGGTATTTAATGTAAAATTAAAAGTTAATAAAATGCTGTGTCATGATTAGTTTCCTGAGGCTAAGGACGATGGGAAATATACTTTATAATTAATTATTAGAACTATTATTTTTTTCAAAGTAACACTTTACAGTCTAACTAAGAAAACCATGAACACCTAAATATGTCTGAAATGTTAAACATCATGTTCTGACCAATCACATAACAGTTAATTAGGAATGAATTCATCCTCTCATGCGATTGTTCAGAACACAAAGTTTAGCATTCCAGACATATCTTTGGTGTTCACGGTTTTCTTAGTTTGACTGTAGTAATGGTTTGAAAAGATATAGAGATCAGTCACCTCTTTCCCAAATTTATGGTAAGCACAAGACAACACCCCCACCCCCCCCCCCCCCAGCAGTTGTTTACATAGTTTTAAACTACATTAGTCAATCACCATTTCTTCTACCTTTACAGGAAAAGACTCAAATCAAAACAAAACTTCAGAAATACCAAAAGCAAAGAAAAAATTGTCAGGAGTAAAGGAATAGGAAGTAATAGAAAAATTATAAAAGATGCAACATTTACCTACAAAAGTTGTCACCCAAGAAGAACAAAAACAGATGAGGAACCAGATACATTATCATGGACGTTATCAAAAAGCATAAGTGACAAAGAACTGAAATCTGCTGATAAAATAATTTCACTGACACTTGATGGCAAAGCCAGTAAATCACCAAATCAGGATCACAAATGTGCTTCAGAGTCAAAGGAACTTTCAGAAAGTTGTAGTGAACAATTTCGACGGGCGCAATGTTCTAGTATGCCTCATGGTGGTATGAACTTTGACGACACAACACCAGAGGAACTAGCTGCTTATTTTGATCAATTGCTTCATATTCCAAAGCCAATGTCTGCCATGGCAGAAATGATGTATACATAGGTTTGATTTTTGTATCAGGTCTCTCAGTCAGGATTGTGAAATTCTAAGCTCATGGCTATGCATTTTTGTCAACGTTGCTTCTCAATAGGAAACCCTCAATAGCATGTGCAGAATTGTTGTCATGTTTTGGTGGAAGTCAATTTAAAGGTGTTTCCATGGTATTTCATAGACATTGCCCTTGAATGTTTGTGCTTTCTGACATTATCATGGGAACACTTGATTGATGCCCACCAATCCCCACTTTTGTCTTAATAGCAAATCTTAAGACTTTGTCCATGTGATTAGCAAGCACTGTATATAATTGGATCTGGATTTTGCCGTCTACTTAAAAGTCAAGCTTTTTTGAGAAGTCAAGCTTTTTTGTTCTCATGCTGTTTCAGTCCTCATTGTTTTATTAGTCAGATCACAAATTCTTGCATTTTGTTAGGGTACTTTGTTTCTTGCTAAAGAAGGACAGCCTTCAAAAAAAAAGAATTTATTGGAAATGCTGAGATAGAAAGCTGCTTGACTATTGATGTATCATGAGAATATTGGTCTTATCATCATTGTAATAGTAGTATGGCTTGTATAGGTTTTGCACCATCAAGTGTTGGCACCCATAATAAAGCTTGGGCTGCCTGTGGTTAGATGGCAGAACAATAAAATCGCTTTCCATCTAACACAGCTGCCATCACGGGATGGTGCAAAACCTCTATTGGAATATGATTTCCACAAACATACAAATTCATGAGTAGGTTAAGAAATCTTGAAAAAAAATTTGTGATCAAAAAGGCACACCTTTTGTAGTTTTGTTAACATGATTTCATTTTAGTGGCATCTTTTGTAAAAAGAGCAATAAAATTTTGATATCAAAATATATAGAAAGAAAAAATCAGTTGTAAGGTCAAAGTACATTAATATTAAGAAAGTATAAATTATGTAGAAAGCTATTGCTGTGGGTTTTTTTTTTTTTTTTGCAGTGGGTTATCAATGTACGGAAAGCAGAAGATTGCTTGATTAGTTGGGTTTGTTTATGTTTTTGACATTGTCTGCAGTTGTAAGATGGCAAATGCATAAGGATAGAACAATAATTATAAAACAGATAAAATACTACATGCTTTTGGTTAACATTTTTGTCATTGAATTACAAAGTAGGAGAGTACATTAAATCTAATCCCTAAAAGTCCCCCTAGCCAGAGTCTAATGTTTGAGTATATTCAACACACTCTGAACTCACTACCAAAACATATAATGTAGGTTCCATGCAGAGAACTCTAAACTCACCTGAGTTGAGTGAGGAAAACCAGAAAACCTTGGAGAAACATGGTGGAAAGGAATAGAACAACATATTGAACGAGTTCTATTCATATGTGGATTTTTTTGCATGATTCTTTGATTTATAACAGTACTTATCATGATACAATAAATACAAATGAAAAGCTATTCTCGTGCCATACTGTCATTGATAATGTGATCAATGACTATTAAATTGTTCATTAATAAACCCTTACAATTATTTTTCTGTTGCAGTGATTTATTTGTAATATCTATAGATTCCATTATATTTGTAAAATTGCCTTTTCAAAGTTTTACCTTCTTAAAAATATTTAAAATAGTTTGCTCAAATTTCCAATGCACTCATACTTTTGTCCAATGATTTTCTGAGTCTGACTTATTAAAGCCTCTTCTATCTATTTGTCCTTAATTGCCCGGTTGTATGAAGGGTGGATAGCACAATCTGATGGATAAATTTATTGTATGACAGCATCCCTTAATTCACTGGATAAGGATTTATCTGTTGGATAGTGCTATCCACCCTTTGTACAACTGGGCCCTGGATACAAACATCTACTAGATGTACATATACATACCTTCTAAACCTTACACCAACGCTATACCACACATGGAATACATAATGAATTCCAATATGAAAACAGAGACAATGACAAGTTCTGGACATTGCATATTTGAACTCTGACCATAAAATGCTCCAAGATGCTGGATTGCAAATGAGAATTTTAAAACATTGTTTTTCTTGATGAGAAACTTTTCATTGAAAATGCTTTAATCCTCTAAGTTATGAGGTTTTTTCTCTTCTTCATCTTTCGATGATAGAAAAAGCAGTGGAAACATTCCAAGTACACATCCAAATGAGATTCCAATGGCTCTTCCCTGTAGAAATTGTAAACAAAAATAGGTTGTGAGATCATCAAGTAGACAGGGACAGAACCAGAAATCTGAGAAAGGAGGTGCAGAAAAATGTGGCATTAGACTATTGACTTTGAAAAACAACACCAGAGGAAGTATGGGGCCATGCTCCTAAATTCTTAAAACATGTTTCCCCAGAAATGCTATTTTTGCATTCTGGGGATATTTTTGACATAAAAGAAGAATAGATCAATTAAGAAGCACCATGAGCCCCCCATTTAAATCTAACTGTGATAGAGAATTCTCAGGTTTTTGGAAAATTTTGAATAGATTTAGTGTATATATCCAGTCCCAGGATTCAGCAGCATCATGGTACATAATCATCCAACTTTTACCCTACAAATATAACAGGATGAAAGATCACTTAGCAATTCTTTCAATCAAAATGCTTGGACTCTCCTTTTTTCCCCTTCCATCCCCTTATCCCTTCCTTCTCAACCCCTACCCCCTGCCCAAAACCACCATAGTCAAGAAAGCCTGGTTATACAGGCTAATAGGACATTATCATAAGCATACATAATAAATTATAAGGCCTTTGAAAGAGGATTAAAGTCATGCAAAACAGTGATTACCAAATTTGTTATGAATCTTGTTCTTGGCATTTCCATTTGTTTTGAGCTTAGTCCTGGTCCTTCAAATCCCATTTTATTTGCTGCAAGCTCAACATAATGAGCAAGGCTGTGGAAATGACATGTGAAAAGTGAGTAATCCCATACAAAGAATAGATGGCCTACGTGCTTAAAAATATGCAGAATAGATTAGCCAGTTAGATTGCTCACACTAARTCCGTGAAACAAATACTAATTTTTAGCACTAAATAGTGATAATTAGTATATTTAATAGGACTCCATGCTGTCCAATTAAGAAATAATTGGACGAGGAAAATTCCGAGGACTGACAAAATTGGAAGAGGCGCTAGGCCGAGTCCAATTTGGCAGTCAGAGGAATTTTTTGAGTCTAATTATTTCTTGATTGGGGAGCATGAAATCCCATTACCTATTGATTATATAGCTGCCTAAGTAATCCCATATCCACAAGACCTGTCCAATTAAGAAAATAATTGGACAGTTACTGTACCTATATGGGATTAATGAGAAGCTGTATAATTAAACAATAGAAAACAAAGGATTCTGTATGAAATAGTACTAATTAGTACTATTTAATGTTCACGGTTTTAGTGCGTGCACTCTATTGTTGGTAACTAACCTAATTCCAGAAACATCAGATATAAGATTACCAAGGGCTGCAGCTGGAAGTTTAGAACGATTTAAGACATTGAAAAAAGTCAGAAAATGAGTATGAAAATAAATGAGAGGAGTGATGAATGAAACAAAGTATGTATGCTTGAATGAACAATTAAGTAAATGAAGTAAGAGTGAAAAATGGATGAATAAACAAATAGATAAAAAATAAATAGCTTCATAAAAGAAAAATATATAAGCAAACAAACAACTGTTAGGGATGAGCATGAGTGAATCAATGTATAAACAAATGGATGGATGAAATATTAAAGAATGCAATAAATGAAATAAACAAATAAAAATGAAAAAGTAAATCAAATGAATGAATGAATGAATGAATGAACAAATGGATGGATGCACATAATTGTTTAAATACAATTACTCACCAGCCATTGTCGATATTCCTAATGCAGCAACAAGAGTTATAGCAATGTTCTTTCCCTTGATTAAAAAAAAACAATATTAGACATCAAGTCTCAATATCTGACATGAATGATATTAACTTGAATATGCTGTAGCTATAATTATCATTGTAATATATGTATATACTTACTGCAGTAATCATGATAGCATTATCTAGAAATCCAAAACCAATAAATGGAATTGCACTGTGAAATGCAGCTTTGAAACAAAAAAAATTGTACATGGATCAATCTGTGATGTCTGCACATGCTATTGAGAAACACTGTATTATATGAAATACATGAAAAATAAGTGGGAATCTAGCATAATGCAAATTGTTACCAAGTCTAAGCTGGGCCACTGTTGGAGCTGTGGGAACTTCTTCTGGTTCTGTCAATGCAAAAATAATGTATTTAGTATGCATTGGCAAATATGTATGCAATGTCAACAACACACCATACCATAGGTCCTAAATGTATCTCCCAACTTTTCCTCAAAAGAAAATCTTACGTGAAATCTAGAAATCTAGCAATCTAGCTTCGGAACTATTAGTTTGCATAATGAGATTGCCTCTAATTATTCCACAAATGGAGACATTATTAAAAGTAAAGATACTATATATATCGATAATTATCACCAAAACGAATTTGAGAATGATGACAAAAATTGACTTTGACTCTGACTTTTTAACAAATTGTAAATTCAAAATTCCCTGACCTTTAAACCCGCCTTTAAACCCCGACTTTTCCCTTACCGTGGGAACCCTGCTGTATGGTTACTCTAATTACTCAATAACTTTCTTACAAGTGGATGTTCTAGAATTTTGTGAGGAGAAAAACTAAAATGCAAAAAAATAAAGTTTTAAGGTTTGATAATTAAATAAAGAATAAAGTAATAGAAAGAAAGGCTTACCATCGTCTTGGTGTTGTTTCAAAGCTTCTTGAAGAAAACTTCTTTCTTTGGTAGTCAACGAAGAGACAAAGGAATCCGCCTCTGAAACATTACAAATCTCCGCGATTCCTGATTTTTTGCCCCTGTAGTACCRTCTAATTACTTGGTGAAGGGATGGTTTTCTGTAAGTATGGGTTAGATGTTTTGAAATGGAGAAATAAAGTGAGATATTCAGGGATATTCTACCACAACCACAGTACAAACCCATTATTAGTGTCGATGAGTCGAGTAGAGGGACTGGGTTCATATAAACAATACCACAGGAACCCCAAACTACAAGATCAAAACATGGTTCTGCTTGACGCCAGTTGCCGTCTTGGAGCAAAATGTTGAAAATACGAATTCCCATACGATTCTTTCTGTCTGAAATGCACATGGTGGTCAGTGTTTGGCCATCATTTGTAGCAGATTATGAGATTTCAGCAAACTGTACTTCTTTTTGAGAAAAGCACAGGTAAAATAGCTGGTCCACATAACCTGGGGGTCCGGCGGAGGAGAGCGATGTATTCTTTGCAGACAGAGATCCACCCAGATCGATTTTATGCTTCTTTGCTTGAGATCCTCGCCACATGTAATATGAAACACATACTCTATAGCGTGCAAACTAATATTATAACATTTAAGAATAACGCTGTTATAAGTACAAATTTCTGGCACTGTTTGTTATAACACCAGTTACACCAGTTTGGGCGTAGACTGCCAATCCCGTATCCAGAGCCAGCGTTTCTGAACGTGGGCTCTGGGTACGAGATTGGTAGACTGCGAGCTACTTTTTTTCTTTCGTCCCCCCCTCCCCAGGGACGTTTGACTCGTAACCAATCTTCCTCGACCAATCGACACGGACAGACAAACGGACAGTGACCAAGGGAAATAGATGGACGTTAAGGTTATTACGACTGTTATGAGCATGAAAGGTTCGAACCCTGTATAATTTTTTAGTTCTTTTTTCCCAAAGAAATCGAAAACGGTGAATTCGATCAAAGGGCGCTTTCTATCAGACTCATTTGGAGCATTAAAATCCCATGTGCCAGTTGATGTCCCAAGCTGTTCAAAAAATCTATTGAAATCCCCCATTTTCATTCAGTTTTGTCTTTCCACTCCGAATGTAAGTGTAAAAGCTCATTTTCCCTACAATCATTAACTAACTTTATGTAGTTATAGTTTAATAAAAGTCAATAATCAATCAACCTATTTTCTATTTTCACCAAGCCTTTCAGAACCAGCAATGGTTTCGTATTGTTGCTACATCTCATTCGTTGTACCAGAGTTTGAGCTACAGCGTTGATGATATATTGTTTCTTCTTCGATCGATCGATCCTTCCTTTCTTTCCTTCGTTCTTAAAATTTCTTTCTTTCTCTCTTCCTTCCTTCTTCCCATCTTTCGTTTTCTTTCCTTCCTTCGTTCTTTCTTTTCTTTCCTTCGTTCTTTCTTTTCTTTCCTTCTTTCCTTTCTTTCTTCTGAGCTTTCTTTTTTCCTTCCTTCTTCTTTCCTTTCTTTCTTAACCTGTCTGGCCACCTACGGTTGCTACCAGCTATCTTATCTGTTTGAAATTCAGACTACAGTATCATGGCAACGACGAATGACGCAAGACGACATTCCTACTTATCATAATTTAAAGCTAAGGGATGGAGTTAACTTTGAGCGTTTCTTGTCATTTTGATAAGTACTAAATAACAAGGTAAGTTTTATCTATATTGTTCGTTTTTTTGTGTGTGTAGAGTGTATATGTATGCTATTATGGTTGTGGTTTCGAAAAAAACTAACAAACGAAAAGCAAAAGTCCTCTCCATTACAGTAAAACGAAAGTGAAACTTTATATTCCAGACTACTGCCGTTTGCACAGTTCAGTAACTTTTTGTGAATATTGTGATCTCAAAGAGGTAGATAGGTGTAAATAGATGCAAACCGTTAGGCTATCAAGTTGGGAATGCGTTCTGAAATAAAATTCATGCGTTCTAGATGGAAATAAAGAGGTTTTGGGTATTTTACCGATCAAAGACTTGAAAAATAATACTGAATCGATTGATTCTCAACATCTGGAATCAAGAGAATATTAAATATTACCGGAATATAAAAGGGTTTCTCGATGATATATTTTCTAAACAGTTTTCCCGAGTGCCTTCAATAAATACCTAGTGATATTTGTTTTTTCCTGGAATACAAACTAGACTTTAAATGAATTGCGTTTCTAAACTTAACATCAATTATAAACTAGATTTGAAAAGTTGCTCTTACTGCGGACATAAGACTTTGATTTTCATTCATTCGGTTCTTCTTGTTGACACTGAAAATAATCCAACTCGGAATTTCAAACTTTAAGTAACACAGGACTTGTGGGAAAGATTGAAGCCTATTATCTTATTGCTCGTTCACACGGGCGATTTTTGCAATGGTTTGAGAAGTGATTTTTGCGGTGAATTTTGAAATACATAATAAATTTTGTCTTATGCTTCTAAAGAGACATTTGTCCTGGTAATCTTGGTGTCCGGATTAAAACTTTAAAACTTCAACCTTTACTATTCTTGACCATGACCAAAATCGCTGCATAAATCGCACCTTAAATCGCTGCAAAATTTGCTCATACAAACAGGCCYTTACACGTTCTAGACTCCACTTGAGGCGAAATTTTAAATTACTTTTTAGACCTCTTTTCATTCGTACAGCGCTCTATATGTTTACATAACTCGGGCGTACAGTCATATGATAAGACTCTTTCTTTGTATAGAGCTGTTAAGTGTGACGAGTAATTCGAAAGAAATACGACTTCCGGGTCCAACTTAATAATTACTTCTACAGATATTTTTGTGGTTTTTTCCTTCATTGCAGGAATTTCTGTTCATATATCTAATTTTTGAAGGTAGATAATAAATCCTGGGAATAACTTGTGGCAAGATTTTACACAGGCAGCCCAAACAAGGTTCCTGTGTATGGTTTATAAGGGAATGTGTGGGAGTTATGATTAAGGTCATGAAAATAAAATGTTTCACTCAACAATTTGCCTCAAAACTTACTGCAGTTGTTGCTTTTACTTTATTCAGCCTCCTGGCGACGTTTCAGCGCGATTTGAGGCCGTTTAATGGGTTTTTTCAAAATCCGCTCTTCTCTATTATTTAGGTAGAGAAGAGCGGATTTTGAAAAAACCCATTAAACGGCCTCAAATCGTGCTGAAACGTCGCCAGGAGGCTGAATAAAGTCCTTCCTCTTTATTAGTATTCAAGTGATTTTATATAAAGACACATGTGTGTATATAAAGACCACTCGAATACTATGAGGATGACTTCATCAGGGATGAAGTATGCATCCAAGTTTTGRTGAAGACTTAGAGCCTCATCAAGGYCATAGTCAACCCTAAAAATCTTTGACTAACGTGCCTGTCTTTGCCTTGGCACGCAATATCCAACGTGTGGGAGCTTCTATTGAATCTGGTTGCGMATGCCCGTGACGTCAAATCTCTATCGAAGTATAAAAATCCATCGTGACGTGTATGGTGGCTCCAATTGGACCAAAATCTTATAAATTGTTCATGAGTGTTTTAAGCAGTTCAAAAAACTCGTAGATCGTGTTTTATCAGGTATAAAAGCACTCGGACTCCTACTCGTTTTTTAAACACTACTTGAAACACGTGAATATATGTATTTCTACTATTTGTGACGATTGTGCTTTATACACTGACAACCCTTATGACAGTTATYTTATATCTTCATTAATTGCAGATTTGATCAGTTATTTCTTGGTTAAGTATTTGGATTACTGTTTCCATAGAAACAGTAATTCCCTGTTTGGCTCCAAATAATCATGAACTCCGAGAAGCTTGCTCTTGATAAGAAAATACAAGACTGTTGTACATCATGTAGATTTCCCGAGGCATTAAAGTACTGTGAAGAGAGCTTGAAAAAAGCGAGAGAAACCGAAGACAAGATATGGGAAATGCAAGCATACAGCAACTTAGCAGCTGTGCTTAATTCATTATCAAGATTTCATGAGGCAATTGATTATTCTCAAAAATGTTTGGTGATTGCTAATGAAATACAAGACAAGAAGATGATGGCAAGAGTACATGATAACCTGGCTAATGCCTTTCAAAGGATAGGAAAGTCAGAGGAGTCAATCAAGCACTGCAAAGAACTTCTTGAAATTGCCAATGATTCAAGTGACAAAAAAGGTCAACAACAAGCCTACTTACTTTTCGGGAATGCCTACAAATCCTTAGGAAAGTACAAGACCTCCATGGATTATTATGATAGCTGTTTAGAAATTGCCAAGGAAATTGGCGACAAACTTATGCAGGGACGTGCTTATGGGAACATCGGGGTTTTGTCTAAAGCACAAGGAAACTACCAAAAAGCCATCGAAAACCATAAGAAATATCGGGACATCGCCATAGAAACGGGAAACCTACAAGGCGAGGCAAATGCTAACGGGAACTTGGGGGTTGCATATCGATTACTGGGTAAATATGACCAAGCAATTCAGTGTCATGAAAAAAATATAAGTATCGCTAGAAAGATAGGAGACAGGAAGGGAGAAGGGAATGCAATTGGAAGCAAGGGGAATGCTTACAAGGCATTAGGAAAATACCAAGAAGCAATCGATTGCTACAAAGAAGGTTTGGAAATAGCGAAGGAAATTAAAAGCAAAGACAGCGAGTTGAATGCCTATGGACAGTTAGGAAGTGTCTATCAGCTCATAGGGGAATTCAAAAAGGCAAATAAATGCAATAAGCAATGCCTCGAGATCGCCAAACACATTGGGGACAAAAATAGTGAAGCAAAAGCATATGGGCAGTTGGGTGCTGGATATCAAGGATCAGGAGAATACGATGAAGCCATTAAACACTACCAGAAATTCTTTAACATCGCTAAAGAAATTGGAGATAGAAATGGGCAGATGGCTGCTTTAGGTGACCTGGGCGATGCCTATCGCTTATCTGGAATGTATGAAAAGTCGATCGATTCTACCCAAAAATGTCTCGATTTAGCTAAAGAGATGGACGATAAAAGTGGACAGGCAAAGGCTTGTTTTTCATTCGGTCATTGCTATTATGTGTTAAGCTACAAACAAAATGGCAAATGGAATGGAAAAGATCGGCACGCTTTATTGCGTGAATCAGAGAAGTACCTCAAGGAGAGTCTTCAAAATTATGAATGGATTTTTGATCATTTGGAGAAAGGGCAAGATCAATTCAAGATCTCGATTGTCGACACGTTTGTCCACGCGTACAAACTACTGACGACAGTATACATCAAGATGCAGCAAAACGAAGCAGCACTTCTAACGTGTGACCGAGGTAGAGCTCGTGCCTTGAGAGATCTTTTGGCGACCAAATACGAAATGGAAATGGACACAGGCCCTCGAAGAAGATTACAGTACTCTGATGTTGAGAGCATTATGTCGAATCCAAGCTCCTGTATTTTGTTTTTTGGAATGGTTATGCGGCCTCATAAGAAGATAGACAATAACGTTATAGAAGGTGGCGCGGCTACTTGGCTAATAACACACGACAATCCACTTTGTATGAAACATGACAGTGAATTTGATAAGTTCGGGTTTTCGTCCCAAAAACCTGCAAATGAATACGTCAATGATCTTGTGAATCAGGCGTTCACTGAAATGGAGGTTAGACGAGCTGTGGATTGCGAAGATCGATCGCTAGACACCAACTTGGACATAAGATGCATAGAAGATGTGAAGTATGATGGAGAACCCGCTTTGGAGAAACTGTTTGATATGTATGTGTCTCCAATACAAGACAAGCTCGCTACTCAGGAAGAGATCGTCATCATTCCTGATGGAGGACTTTTCACCGTTCCATTTGCTGCTCTCAAAGATCCAAAAACAAAGTCATATTTCTTTAAAGATAAGCGAATTAGACTTGCACCTTCACTGACCACATTGAAAATTTTAAGAGAATCCTCAGTGGACTCCAAGAGAACGACAGGCGCGCTAATCGTTGGAGATCCTGAAGTGGGAAAAGTAATGTTTCAAGATGGAGAAAAACATTTTTGTCGACTGCCAGGAGCGAAGAGTGAAGCCGAAATGATCGCTAAGATGCTTGACGAGAACGCAATTACAGGGTCACGAGCAACCAAACAAATCATCAAGCAAAGATTACAAGAAGAAGTAGCTGTTGTACACTTTGCGGCACACGGCAGCACTGAAGGAGAAATTGCATTGACACCGGATACATCTGTAGTAGACGGCAGTATCCCACAAGAAAAAGATTACCTGTTGACAATGAAAGAAGTCCAAGAGATCGGTATCAAGGCACATCTAGTCGTGTTAAGCTGTTGTCACAGTGGTCGTGGTGAGATCAAGGCAGAGGGCGTGATAGGAATGAGTCGTGCTTTCTTAGCTGCAGGAGCTCGGGCTGTCGTTGGATCACTGTGGGCCATCGCTGACCAAGCAACGATGGAGTTCATGAAGAGATTCTACACACATCTCRAGGAAAGAGAAAGTGCTAGTTCAAGTCTTCTTAAAGCCATGCAAGACATGAGGAATATACGTGAGTATGAAGATCCAAGGTTTTGGGCTCCTTTCTTTTTGATTGGCGACGACGTCACAATTTTCTAAAAAAATACGGTAGCTGGGTCAGGTTACTGATATTTCTTGACAACATGTCAAAATTCAAGGTCACTAGTACCCCCCCCCCGGTTATTTGAATTCACGTTATACTTGTCTGCTTATCTTGTCTAACAATTTTTCACTGAAGGTGAAGTGAATATCAGTGAATATTTACAATGACATAGTTAAGGTAAATATTCACCATATTTACTGAGCCTGAGGTGAATTGCTTTAGCATAATTTGATTCTTAATAAATACTTAATAATACTGAATATCAGAGAAAAGAGAAAAGTCCTACAACTTGAATATTGGTAACTAAAACGTTAAAGAAAAGTATAATATATTAGGGAATGAGTAAGTAAATGTATCGGTTGTAACTGACGATGGCAGAAGTCGCTGCTAAAACATGTTTTGCAAATTAAAGGGTATGCTATTAGTTGCTATCAGTTTACTGAGTACAACACCATCCTGAAATGAATGAATGAAATTAAGTATGTATAAATGCTTGAATGAACAATGAATGAATGAAGAAACAAGTAAAAAATGGATGGGAAAGAAATGGGGAAAAAATATTGAGTTCATTAGAAAGGATGAGCAAGCAAACAAATAAAGAGATTAGCTTGAATGAAAAGATGGATGAACGATAAATGGATGAATCATTAAATGAATGAAATAAACAAATAATWAAAAAAATCAAATGGATGAATGAATGAAAAAATGAATGAATGGATGGATGCACATAATTGTTTAAATACAATTACTCACCAGCCATTGTCGATATTCCTAATGCAGCAACAAGAGTTATAGCAATGTTCTTTCCCTTGATTAAAAAAAAACAATATTAGACATCAAGTCTCAATATGTTACATGAACGATATTATCTTGAATATGCTGTAGCTGCAATTATCAATGTAATATATCTATATATACATGCTGCTGCATCATTATAGCATACCTAGAAATCCAAAGCCAATAGAGGCTTTGCACCATCATGTGACCAGCATAACAGGAGGCGCAACAATAGAGTATTTTTCCCCTGTGAAACTGAATTCTTTCTCGTGTAAATCGAATGATACCAGATTCCATTGTTCCTGCCTCCTGTCATCGCTGCCATCACATGATGGTGCAAAGCCTCTATAAATGGAATTGCACTGTGAAATGAAGCTAAACAGAACAAATAATAATTGGTACATGGGTCAATCTGTTGTCAATCTACAGGAGGATCAATGGATGCCCTATTGTAGTGAGCATGCCACTAAGCACAGCATGAGTGAAAAACGTCTGTGCATGCTCTGAATCCATATGCAAATTAGTCAAAACATATGTAAATTTGACTTTCAAACATGCCTGATAAATTTGACTTTACAAAATGCCAAAACTTAGTGTTCATGCTTGAAACTTAAGGCTAATTTTTTCATATTCGTGTTTTTTAATACAGTATCTTGGTCTAACAAAAGTATACTCATGATGTTTTTCGCATTCTTGGAGAAAACAACAGTTATTTTCTCACTCAAATTCTTAGAAAACGTGCTAAAATGCACGTATGTGCAAACATTTTTCTCTAGTCTCACTAAACACTGCTTGTATAACTTAAAGCACCTTCACTGGTCTTGGCAGTCTAGAGGCCCATAATTTAAAGGTCTAATAATGTGCAGAATCATTATCGATCATGATGAAGTAGGTTTTGGTAACCATCAATCAAGGCATTTCAATGATATTCCATATTGATATTCCATAGTGCCTAGGGACATGCTTTTGAAAACTTTTTTTTTCCAAAACATTTGTCTACTTTTTATATATCTACCAAAACCCTTTGTCACAAAGTATAGGATTCTGCACATGCTAAGTGCCATAGTAGTAAAGTATGGACATTTAAAGTATGAATAGAAATAAAGTTTGATGATTAAATATATAATTAAAGAATTAGAAAGATTGGCTTACCATTGTCTTGGTGTTGTTTCAAAGCTTCTTGAAGAAAACTTCTTTCTTTGGTAGTCAACGAAGAGACAAAGGAATCCACCTCTGAAACATTACAAATCTTCACGATTCCTGATCATTTGCCACTCATGTATAACTGTCTAATAACTTGATGTTTTGAAGTGGAGAACTAAAATGAAATATCCAGGGATATTCTACTATATCCACTGGGTTCAAGTAAACAATACCACAGGAATCACAAACTTCAAGATCAAAACATGGTGAGGCTTCACTTGATGCATTTCCTGTCTGGTGCATAATATCAATTTGCCTATACAATATTCTTTCTGTATCAAGAACATTGTGGTCAGTGTTTGGCCATTATTTGGAGCAGAAAATGAGATTTCAGCAATACCTCTTTTTGAAACCGGCACAGGTATAATAGCTTGTCCACATGTTGAGGTGGTTGGATGAGATGGATGTATTTTTGCAGAAACAGATCCCACACAGATTTTGTGCTTCTTTGTCTGAGGTCCTCAGCACATTTAAAATTAAACACATACTTCAGTATAGCCTCTGTCTCACTGCAGACCCAAAATCATGTTCTTTTAAATTTTWAATTGGACACAACTGACATCATTGGCACTTTCCTTCTTCAAAATACAAACAAACATTTAATATTTAAGTGAAGTATCATATATAATTTAGTTTCCTGAGTGCTGCTAGCCATCAGTTTTTGAACAGATCTTATAAAACTAATTGCAATCCTCCATCAATCACAAGAACCTGAGAAAAGAAATCAAGTTACATAAAGATTTCAAACTTAAAACAAAATACAAAATGAAAATATGACAGACCCCTGGGAGAAAAATAGCTAGGGGTAATTTGTTACTAAAGCAATAAATTAGAAGCTGAAAAAGAAAACCATCAGAGGGGAGGGATAGGGGGCTATGGTCCCATTTTTTGGTCAATGTTACGTTATTGAGATTTACTTCGGGTATAAAAATCCAATATCAACAGCATTATAAGGTTAACCCATCATACTCCTTCCCTGTCCCTACCTAGGACCATTATTTGACCTCATTGATAGTAAAAAAATGTCCTAATTTCCATTCACCCCAGCATGAAATTGTCTACCCACCTGTCCTGTTATATATGATGACTGCACAAGAAAACAAACGCCATGAGCTATTTCTGTTGCCTTTCCAAATCTCTTCAATGGAACCAAAGACCTGTATGAAGCACCTTTATCAGATTCACTGTTGATAAGATCAGCAGTCATTTTTGATTCCACTAATCCTGGTGCTACAAGATTCACCTGGACTCCTTTTGATGCAACTTCTTTAGCAAGAGATGTTGTAAAACCTACCAATCCTGTATTTGTAATAAAAAAAAATAATTGAAAATTAAGGTCTATAGCATCCCAGGTAAATAACTTGGCTGAACCAACTGAACCGTCTACTCCCCTCCCCCCCACCCCCCAAAAGACACTAAAGAATTCCTGCAACCTCTATATGTAGACTTGTCCTTTATTAGCACAAGTCTTCCCAGTTACATAACTTGCCCCTGCACCACTGGAATTTTCTCCCCTCCCTACTCCCCCCTCCCCCCCCMAAAAAAAACACTAAACAGAATTCGTGGTTTCACCATTTTCCATGCATTGGTTCACTGGTCAAACACAAGGCATTCAGTCGAGGTTGCAAGGTCAAATTTGAATAATCCTTTGAAAGTACCTTGGCGCCTCGATTGAGCGCTGTGTTTGGCCAGTGAACCAATGTATGGAAAATGGTGGATGAGCTCCAAAAGAGACTCCTTTGATACCTGATTTACTAGCACTGTAAATGCTTTGCCCAGTGTTCCCTTTAAGACCAACAACACTTCCGATGTTAACAATAGATCCTTGTCTTCTTTTTATCATTGATTTTAGAACAGCCTTGCATGAGTACATCGATCCCAACAGGTTCGTAGAGACGATGTTGTCAATATCGTTTAATTTAGCTCTCAACAAAAGACCATCTTTGTTCACTCCTGCTGCATTAACAAGTACATTTATATCCCCAGCTGTAGCTTCTATTTGCGAGATTGTTGCTTCAACAGAGCTGTAGTTTGTCACATCACAACTAAAACTGGCATGGTTTTGTCTCTGCGAAGTGTGGCATAACAATTGCACCGTTTCAAGCGCTTTTTTGCCGTCTCTTCCCACTGCAATGACTTTTCCTCCTCTTTTTGCTAGCTCTTTGCAGATGGCTTTTCCTATTCCCGAAGAACCACCAAAAACTACGCAGACTTTTTTATTTATTCCTCTACAAGCTCCATTCATCCTTTCAAATGAAGAAATCTACCAGGCATACTAGACTGACAATGCATTATGGGTAATATTCTCTCGGAGAATTTCACTATCCCTTGCTTTTCCTCCCCAACTACCCGGAGTGAGGGGCGATTAGTAGGAGGTGGCGACAGGCAAAACACCGAGTCTAAAAGCACTTCTACAATTGCCCTATTTCACTATGACGTCACATCAAACAATCTATTGTTTAAACGCAAAGGGAGGGGGTCAAATCAACGCAAATTCACCAAAAATTGTTCTAAATTGTTCGTATCAATCCACGAAGAGAAGTAGAATAGCCAGCAAACGCTCAGAATATTTTTTAGTATATATTAACACGTATTACATCTGAAAACCAGGACATTTTAGATTAAACTGTTTCGCTAGGAGCAAATTTTGTTGAACTTTCTATTGGATTTGGCGATTCTATCCCCCACATAAACAAGCAGTGACGGGGTGCAGGGGGTGCGCGCCCCTCCCTGGTTCCACTTTGTGCCTCTACTTCGAAGATAATCAATACTGTTTTTCCCTTTGATTCTAAGAGTGCACCCCTCCCTGGATTAACTTTGTGCGCGGCATCCCTCCCTGAACAAAATCCTGGATCTGCCCCTGTTACTCATAACTGATATAAACAGAGAAAATATAGCAGTATAAAGAATAAAATACTGAGAAAGCGATCCAAGAGGAGTAATTTTCTGTTTAGTTTTCTTAATTTAGCCGGAGAAAACCTGTAGTTAGTAAAAAAAAAGCCCAGCTGAGAAAGGTTATCGCTTACATGGGTTGCATAACCATATAAATCACTCAAGCATTTCTTTATATTTCATTTTCTATTTCAATAATAGAATATAGACACCGACTAGACTTTAGTTTCCTGTTTCATTGACCTGCACTTCCGACGTCATTTTGTAACGGTCTACCCGCCAAATGTTTTGCCCAGTTTTGCAACGGCAGATTAAACAGATAACTTCGATCAATGTTGTACCTCATAGTCTTATTTCTGGAGTCGTGGTTCTGTTTACAATCAATTAACATAATATATAGTCTACAATGTTCATGGGCGGCACAGTATTGTGTCAAGTGGAGTCTTTGTTTCGATCTTGGAAGCGCTCTTGCGTGCGTGGTAGTGTGTTAACAAATATTATAAMATCTAAAAATAAAGCTGTTGAAAATGGTTTTTGCTCCCGGAACTTCGACGTTCCCGAAGTTAAGTAAAAAACCATCCACTTAAAACCACGTCCGACTCATAAAGTACAAACTTCTGGCACTATAGTTTGGTATATAGCTGTGGCGGATTTAGGGGGGGTTCATTGGGTGCAAATGAACCCCCCTCACCGGCTGGTACCTTGGATTTTTTATATATTTTTAAAATAGATAAATAAAAGTATGGTACTAACTCATGAGATTTAATATGAGATGGGACTGGTGGATAGGTTATCCTTATCAGGAGCGCCCCTAGGCCAGTGATGTGCCTCATGGGAAAAATGATGATGCAAGAGAACGTTATTGTTGTGCCGAGATTTGCAAAATTGAACCTCCCCCTCTTAAAGTCCATGATCCCCCACTGTATAACTCTTTCTATTCTACTCGTTACCAGTTTGGGCGTGGCACTTTGTACAAAGATGATTTACGTATTTGTTACGTCAAGGTCATTACATCTGTTATGAGCATAAAGGTCAGAGCCTTTTTAAATTTCTATTTTAAGTTTCCCCCCAAAGAAATGGAAAACGGTAAGGACTACTCGTAACTTTTAATTTCCGTTAGAGTTTCTATTAATGTATGTGTTATTTTATTTCATATTAATATTTTTACTCGTTTTGAGGTCAAAAATGGAAATATCAGCCTTTTTAAAAATCCGAAGCATAATTTTTCTCAGTTTCAGACAGCAATAATTTTACGGTAATTTTTTATCGCTTACTAACTAATCTTCTCAGTTCCTATTTATCTTTTTTTTCCCCAAAGTATTACACAAAACTTTAAAACTTTAAAACTACCTGTGCATTCMATTGAATAGTTTTGATTTATATATTTTGACAGCAACTGTACTTTCTAACTGGAGAGCTATCACCTTGAGAAAAATGTAAGACCAGGGACGGCGGAACCAGGGGGGCTGGGGAGGCTTTAGCCCCCTCACTTTTTGTGAAATTTTAATACATCTTCACTAAACTCAGCCCCCCCCCCCAACCTTGCCATACAATGTTACTATTGAGCCCCCCCAATCAAAAAACTGCTCCGCCGTCCCTGAAGACAACTTTTCATGTCATTCGGCATCCTCTTAGCTCTACCACTCTTTATTCGCTTTTTATTCATTTCTCAAAGACACCTATGGATGGCCATGCTTTTTTTAACGAAGGTYGTGTTTTCCTAATACTATGAAATCCTTCTAGTTCAACGAACCGTAAAACGTGTGGAAATAATGTTTTATTCCCAAAATACGAAATTAAAAAGTGGACAATTGTGTTATAAACTTAATAACAATATTTTCGAATAATAGTAACTGCTAATAATTCAATAGCAATACCAGGCAACTGACATCACATATACAAACGATCCTGAATGATAATAAGACTCCTGAAATGAGAAAGATATAGGAGAGAGATATCCATCTTTTTAAAGCAGAGTCTGCGCTTTTTTTCTTTTTGTAATTCTACCTTCAAAAAACGACCCGATGAAAGTCGGCGCCGAAAATCGTATCAGAATTTATGGCTAGATGACCAAGGCAAGCTTAAACCGTTGGTGCTCAAACTGCGGACTTCTTCGAATGGGTGCGAAATTTTAACTGTCATTACTAGTTTTGAAGATTTGTAGTTTCTTGAATATTTTACACTGACAAGAAGCAGTAAAAATAATAATTTATTCATAATAATATTTAATAAAAATTTACTTTTAGGCACTACCGAGTTGCTCGAAGCGGCAAATCGAAAAGGTTCCACACACAAACAAATCTAAACGAATATCAAAAACACACACACACTGAAAAACAAAGCAACAAAACAAAACAAAAAAACCTGGAAAAATGTCGTTTTCTGACAGGCTGAAATTTCCGACGAATTAACCGTTCTCATAATGACTGACGAGCGCACGAAAGAGGCCACCCAGTCATCCTGCACTCAAGGCTAAGCACGAGGCTGCTTATTCAAAACGAAGGTGGATACCGCAAATTCAGGTAAAAAAAAAAGGTTAATTTCTATAGTTTTCTTCCATGGACGCATTTCAAGTGCTTTTAAATCTTTTATTGTGAGATAATGACCGGGTGATCTGGTTTTCGTGTACTTGTCAGCCATTATGAGAGTGGTGTATGGAGATGTGTAACTAGGCTGTATACGCAACGGTGATGGTTCCATAATAATACACTAGTTCAGTTTCAAATTCTCATCTTTGTTAAGTTTATCCTTTTAGCGTTAAATGTTCATGTTTTAAACAATGAATGTCTGTAGCACATAATGTACATATGCTAAAAGCCTGGACTAACGACTGGCTAAATGAGCCTGTAATCAAGGAAGACAGCGTTATTCAATACATAGACAAAACATTTCATTCATGAGTTCCCAATGCCGTTTGCACAATAGCATCATATTATATCAGGATATTGAATCTATTTTCTTGTCTTGTCACGAACCACTGAATGTTATGTACATAGCCTCGCATTGAAACCTTTGTGCATGACAAGCTAACCATATTCTCACGAGGAAATCAAAAACTCAATAAGGAAAAGAAGTAGTCAGATAGTGGTATAGTTAAACCCGTACGCCATATCGCCGAAGTAGCCTATATCGATTAAAGCTAAGAATATAATCAACCTCCGTCAAAACAGAGTTCAATATTTATAATTTCAGAGGAAGATACCATATACAAGAAAGCGAAAACAGGCTTCGAATTACATCGCGAAATCCACTTCAAAAACCAATGCATTCTGCCCAGTAGTCCGTTTAATTTAAGTGGTATAGAATTGTCTTGTACCAGTTCGTCAATGGCCTTGTTTGGTATGCCTAGGTTATAATAATTCAGATTGCAAAAGATAGTATAAACGATGAAAGAGGAGATATAAAGAAAGGAGGGAAAAGAGAAGTAAAAGGAAAACAGACGAACGAAACTGTTTCCTCGTATTTAATGTTTCAGAAAACGAAAAATAAGATTTACGGAAGAGGATAGGGCTGGAAAAGTTCCTTGCTAGAAAAACGTCACAAAAAATACAAACACATTGAGAATCGGGGGAATTTGCTGAAATCCCCCCCCCCCCCCCCCCCCCCCCCCACACCAGTGCGTTTGTATGAACTTTAACTCGTTAAATTTAACATTGATTATTAAATTATTATACTGTGTAGCCTTGAGGTTATAACTATATTATAACTAACATACATCACATACCCCCCCCCCCCCTACACACACACACCCACCAAAAAAAGCTAAAATATCTCCTACCACACCACCCCTGACTACTTTTCCAATGCTTTCTCTGATTTGATTGGTTCTTAGAAAAACCATTTAAGAGCCCGTACGTAGCCGTATGAAGTTTCCTCCTCGTTTACATTTCAATATCTATTATTTACAAGTTAAACATTACCACTCAGTGGATGACTTAGTTTTCATATGACGGCTTGGTAAAACGGCTGCCAGTAATTTCAGTGGCCTCTAGCTGAGTTTTAAAATCTAAAATATATCAGCTCTTTTATTTCCAAATGTGCTTTAATATATTAGAACTAAAGGTTTTTAAAAAAATCGATCTATAATATCTTGAGGGGATTTACAAAAGTAAGATAGTGAGTGTGTAACGATGTGAATGTTGTGTCTAGTGATGTTTATTATGACTTTTTATGATTATTATTATTCAATCAGTGTATTTTATCAGGTCGTTTTATGGTGGTTTTTTTTAAGGTAAAAAAACCCAAGAAGGATGAGGGAAAGGTACCGGTATTAAACCACCGTATATATATTTTTAATTGGCTCAGTTCTTATTTGAATTGGAAAAAGAAGTCGAAATGGATCTGCAGCAGATGAAAACTAGGAAGGACGTAGAAGGAATAAAAAAATGGTAATCCCAAGAAAGAAAATTGACAACAACAACAACAACAAAATAAAATAAAAAATAAAAATAGAGAAAGAATTAAATACATAGAAATAGATAAAGAATGAATGCACGAATAAAAGAGAAACAAACAAACAAAAATAAATGAATGCGAGAGAAG